CTAAGTTCCAATATTTGGAAGAATGGAAGAAAAGTCCTAAAAAGATCCATAATAGCAGTTGTAAAACTTCAATTTATACTTTTTTAACATGTAAATTCGTGGTATACCCACAAAATCCTCGAAAAGTGGTATCCCACGAATAATTAGGAATCCAATGTATCATGTTCCTTCATGTTGACTTGATACATGGGTTTAATTTTGTGGTTTACTTAGGTGTTAGCAACAGGTGAAACTTTGTGCCTATTATGTAAGTTTCAGACATCATTAAACCTAGTTTAATCTACCCCTTTCATTTCAAGAGTTTAGTGAGATCAAAATTTCTTTCTTTCTTTAAGTAGATTCACATAGGATTTTCCCATTTTATTTGGACATCTGAATCACAAGTTATGATTTTTAGTTGCTGAAAAATATAACAGATATGTGTTCTGTTCCTAAAGATGGAATAACATACTCAAATACTATAGTAAAACAGTAAACCCTTACTCATTTCTCTTTTAAATCACAGTTGGAATACAATGATTTTTTTTTAAACTGCTTCATTGTTGGTTGATTAACATCCAGGGGAAAATAATTCTTACATTTCTAGGACAAGGATTAAAGATATTTTGCTTGGAAATTAAAGAATAATGTTAGAATAATGTTCAAAATAATTTGTATTAGCAATGAAAGGAGAAGGGTCGGGTTTGTAAGTTTTCAACTCTTTTGGTCAATGTTTGCATTGTGTGTTATTTGGATCAACATTATTGATAAAATTAGCACTTTTCTTCATACTTATCAATTTTGGCATTTTACCAGTAAAATGAATAAAAGGATATTCTTGGTATTATACTAGATTTATTTTTACATTTTATTATCATTTTTACCTACCCTTTTATTGCCCTCATATGCAATGAGTTTAATTGTTGATGAAACATAGCAGACTACTTTAAAATTTGATCTCAAATTGTTCAAATTTGCATTGAAAAATGAATATGAAAGTGAGATAGTAAAACATTGCAGACAAATAAAAAAATGTTTTTAAGTGGAGACCAGGAAATTAACAAGATTTTTGTGATGGAACTGATATTGTTCCCATGATAATCAGAGGAAATAAATTATAATCGAGTTAAGTTTCAAGATCAGAAAAGGAAATGGATTACTAAACTGAAGAGAATTTCCCTGTTTTCATTCCTCAGACTTTGTAATATATATTATGCAGTTTATTTGAAGGAAGTGGCAAGATATATTTATAGGAGAAAATAAGCTTCTTTAAGGAAAAGTCTCTAAAATGAAGTATATGTTTTGATTAAAAATTTGATATCATATCAAAAATTATTTTGTTACTAAAGCTCTACTGGTAAAATGAAATTGTCCCATCTCCCTTGAGGGAAATCAGTTGTACTTTGAGTTAAGCCTTTTTCAACTGATTTTTATAGTTTGTTCTTACGTTGTACTGTTACACCACTGTCCTAGGTTAGGGGGGGGGGGGGGGGGGGGGGGGTTGGTTGGTTGGTGCCTTCAAACTAGTTTAACCCGCCACATTCTGTATTTGCCTGTCCCAAGTCAGGATCCTGTGGTTGTTGTTTGTTGTTGTGTATCATATTTGTTTTTTGTTCATTATTTTGTACATAATTTTTCTTGTTTGAATTGTTTTATATTTGTGTTTCGGGGCCTTTCACAGCTGACTATCGGTATTGGTTTAGCTCATTGTTGAAGGCTGTACAGTGACCTATAGTTGTTAATTTCTGTGTCATTTGGTCTCTTGTGGAGAGTTGTCTCATTGGCAATCATACAACATCTTCTTATTTTTATTTTTACAGAGAATCATTCAGGGAGATGCAAAAGGAGGAGGCTTATGGTCGTAAATTTGTGTTTTTTGGTTACATTTTATCTGACTTTTGACAGCCCAACAAATTATGAAGAAATGTAACAGGAAATGTCAAAGATCTGCCATCAATACCAAATGAAAGAACCTTTGTGAGCAATGCTCACATATCCCTTGCACCTAAGTTCTAAGACTCAAAACTCCTACAAGAGTCAACTGATAAAAATCTCTTGAAGATATGCTTATCTACATAGAATGTCCTTATTATCTACAAAGTTTCATAAAATTCTGTTGTATGGTTTCCGAGAAGTTGCGATGACAAACTGTTGCAGTAGTATATTTAAGCCAAAATTCTGAGTTCAAGGGGCATAACTCCTAGAAAATAATAAGCATTGTGTATGCGTTTCATAACATTTGGTTGAGGCAAACTAAAGTAGAGAACAAAATCGAAAAATTCAGCAATTTTTCCATTTGTAAAGGGGCATTACTCTAGAACAGCAAAAGTGACACCACCAAAATTAAAACTTGATCTGTGTTTTGTGGTAATTAGCATTGTGTATAAGTTTCAAAACATTTGGTTGAGGCAAACTAAAATAAGAGAATGGAAACGAAAAATTCAGCAATTTTTCACTTTATAAAGAGACATAACTCTAGAACAGTAAAAGTTACGCCACCAAAATTCAAACTTGATCTGTGTTTTGTGGTTTTGTGTATAAGTGTCATAACATTTGGTTGAGGCAAACTGAAGTTAGAGAACGGAAACAAAAAAATTTGCAATTTTTCCATTTGAAAAGGGCATAACTCTAGAACGGTTAAAGTGATGCCACCAAAATTCAAACTTGATCTGTGTTTTGTGGTAATAAGCATTGTGTATAAGTTTCATAACATTTGGTTGAGGCAAACTAAAGTAAGAGAACAGAAACGAAAAATTCAGCAATTTTTCCATTTGTAGAGGGGCATAACTCTAGAACAGCAAAAGTGACGCCACCATAATTCGAACTTGATCTGTGTTTTGTGGTAATTAGCATTGTGTATAAGTTTCATAACATTTTGTTGAGGCAAACTGAAGTTAGAGAATGGAAACAAAAAATTTAGTAATTTTTCCATTTGTAAAGGGGCATAACTCTAGAACATTTAAAGTGATGCCACCAAAATTCGAACTTGATCTGTTTTGTGGTAATAAGCATTGTGTATAAGTTTCATAACATTTGGTTGAGGCAAACTAAAGTAAGAGAACAGAAACGAAAAATTCAGCAATTTTTCCATTTGTAGAGGGGCACAACTCTAGAACAGCAAAAGTGACGCCACCATAATTCGAACTTGATCTGTGTTTTGTGGTAATTAGCATTGTGTATAAGTTTCATAACATTTGGTTGAGGCAAACTAAAGTAAGAGAACAGAAACGAAAAATTCAGCAATTTTTCCATTTGTAGAGGGGCATAACTCTAGAACAGCAAAAGTGACGCCACCATAATTCGAACTTGATCTGTGTTTTGTGGTAATTAGCATTGTGTATAAGTTTCATAACATTTTGTTGAGGCAAACTGAAGTTAGAGAATGGAAACAAAAAATTTAGTAATTTTTCCATTTGTAAAGGGGCATAACTCTAGAACATTTAAAGTGATGCCACCAAAATTCAAACTTGATCTGTTTTGTGGTAAAAGCATTGTGTATAAGTTTCATAACATTTGGTTGAGGCAAACTAAAGTTAGAGAACGGAAACCAATTTTGGGACGTACGTACGGACAAGGGTAAAACTTAATGCCCCCTCCACTACGGCTGGGGCATAAAAATTGAATCATAATTTCCTGTTGATATGCACATCTACATATTATGTCCTTATTTTCTTCAAAGTTGCATGAAATTCTGTTGTGTGGTTTCAGAGGAGTTGCGATAACAAGTTAAGAACTGACAGACTGACGGGTCAAAAACATTACATTGTATACCCTTTGCAACTTTGTTGTGTGGGGTATAAAAATGACAAGATATAACTAGAGACAACCACTGACCAAGCTACACATAAAATCACTTTCCATTTGAATAGTATCTCATCACTGAAATATTAAATGAAAGAAATCTTAAAACTTAAGGACTTTGTTTTGCTCAGCTGGAATCTATGCATAAAATTAGTTTCTCCAAAATTCCATATAAGACAATTGAATTGCTACAAAAAGGGCACTCTGAGCATTTGCAGTTTGTTCAATGCTCCTAAAAGGTTTTACTACAAGTATAGCATAATCTTTAACGTTATCAATGATCCATGTAAATAAGGTCAAGGTCAGATGAACCCTGCCAGGCAGACATGTACACTTAACAATCATACCATACACCAAATATGGTAGATCTATTGCTTATAGTATTTGAGAAACAAGATAATAAAACATGAAAACTTAATATTGACCAATGAACCATGAAAATGACTTGAAGGTCAGATGAAACCTGTCAGACAAACATGTTCACCTTATAATCATTACTTACACAAAATATAGTGGCCCTATTGTTTACATTATCTTAGAAATAGAACCACCACAAAAATTTAACATTGTCCAATGAACCGTGAAGAGGTCAAGGTCAGATGAAACCTGCCAGATAGACATGTTCACTTTACATTCATTCCATACGCCAAATAAATTGACCTATTGCTTATAATATCTGACATAGACTTGATCACGGACCAATGAAATGAGGTCGAGGTCGAGGTCTGGTTAACTCTAACAGACATGTAGACCTTGCAAGGATCCCATATACTAAATATAGTTCCTCTTAATAATTGAGTAATTCACATGACAAAAAACTATACATTTTTTTCAAGCATCCTTTGAACCATGAAAATGACTTGAAAGACAACAGACAAAAAGGAATTCATCTGACAGTTTTGATATTAATAGACATTGGGTAGATCTCAACATTCTCAAATTTTTTGCACTTGTTAGATTTTCTCTATCTATAGTGGTTTTCATAATAATAGACAAAACTTCCATTTTACCCCTATGTTCTATTTTTAGCCATGGTGGCCATGTTGGTTGGATTTGGATACCTTTTTTAAAACTAGATACTGCAATAATGATTGTGACCAAGTTTGGTTTAATTTGGCCAATTAGTTTCAGAGAAGACTTTAAAAGTTAACGGATGATGACAACAGACGACAGGCGCCAAGTGATGAGAAAAGCTAAAAATAAAGATACAGTAAGACAAATTTATATTGAGAATTTATTGTTTTACAATCATTCATAAATTTCGACTACAACATACAATTTCTTATATTGTACTCTTTTGAAGTTGGTAATGTACAATAAAAAATGGTTTCTGTTTACAAATCACAATTGAATACCCACACAGTTTATACTAATTTCGTTATCTGTTAATTTTAACACTTTTAACAGCATTACCAAAAGCAGATATTTACTGTAAAGTACTTGTGGGGAAATAGTCAGTCACTTAGAAATAAGTACCCAGTGTTTTTTCCGAAGATCTTTAAAAAAGATAAAATAATTATGGCATAAATTTTAAGTCTAATTTTCCAAATTCCAAATCAAGAGTACCTACATATACTAACCTGAGATATTATCTGCTGGATGTTAAATTGAACCCCACCCCCTCCAATATCCATTTCTTTAAGTTATGTGGGTGAAATAATGTGAAAGACAATAAATCACAAAATCAAAATAAATCTGTGTTCTGCTATATTGAGTGGAAACACTTGATGACTTCCTGATTTCATGTGGTGTAAATGTGTTTTACAATCATTCATGAATAACATGTGATGATATGTTGCGTTTTTGGTAGCCAGCTGTTGTTGAAATGGAATAATACATTTCCCCCATATCACTTTTTATTCACATACAAAGGGAGAAAAAGTCATAAATGAGCAACCTCTCTGGTCATATTCATATTATCATCAAGAAAAACCCTTAACTACATGTTTTTTTTACCAAATAGACTTACGCCAAACATGCAACTGGGATATTTGCAAAAATCGTAAGATGTCAGAGGTCTTTAATCAATAGCACAAACAAAATCAGATAAGATCAATAAAAACTGTCCAATATTGTCTGTATTGTGATGACCATGAAGATGTTTTAAATTTAAGAAACAAAAAATAATAAACGACCAATAAGAAAACATAAGTGACTTTATTTCTTTTTATTTTCAGTACAGCATCAGTTAAAATGTTACCATTAAAAACTGTTTATCACATTAATGTTTAAGTAACATACCACAGAAACACCACGAGAGGGAATCGGGGTTGGAAAGTCGAAATATTCTTATTGTATATATATTTTTTTTTCAGAAAGCAATAGTAAAATCAATGGCAGGAAGAGGTACTTTTCAAAGCATTTTTGGCTATGCAGATTCATTTTAAACCAAAGCTACCGAAAACAACTAGACTCATCTCAATAAAGGCTGTAGAGAACTGTAAATATTGACTATGGCTTAGTGACAACAATTTGACTGTGAGGTCATTAGAAGTTAATTCATAAAAAGCATTGTCAAATTAGTATAGAGCATGAGTGGCACACATAATATTTTTCTTGCTAGGAATGAGACAGTCATGACTATTCCTCTAAGAATATTTTTTTAACCAAGGATTGAGGATTAAAGTTTCTGAGCATGTTTTGAGTCAAACAGTTCTACATTGTTTGCCATTTAACAGCTGTATAACCTGTAAAAGGTCAATGTCTTGAACATAAAAACGATATATTGAAGAACATAAATATTCAACATTTACTTCTGAAAATTTGAAAACACTTTGAAAATATTCAAATTTAGACTGTTTCAAATGCAAATTTTACTTTTTACTTCGCTGGTGATGTTTAAAATAATCTGCGTTGATATGAGATGTTAATTCTGTAGAATGCACTGTATAAAGTTAACAAAAGGGAGAGAACTCAGATACTTGCAGTAAGACACATGAAAAATAACTATATTAGAGTTCAAATATTTGCGGATGTCCAATAATCAATTTCAATACATCCTATTGAATAAAAAAACTAAGAACACCTATAAATAAAAGGAGGTTAAGGGGTATATGTGATAGAGAAAGCAACTCAACATAAAAAAGGGGGACGAAAAATACATCGCCTTTGAATGTGTCTAAAACGTTTCAAAAATTCCATGTTTCTTACATACTATCTAATATCTAGGTAATTTTAAGTTTTACATCATAAGATTTTAACAAACTCTAAATGCAGTCATCAACCGTAAATAATTGTAACACAGCCATGACTGCATTCTTGAGAAGCAGGTAAAAAACTATAGGTTGTACTTCATTCATTTCTTCATATAATATTACAAATAACTCCTTATTTTGCTGTACATATTTACAAGATAAAAATCTTCTTATCACATTATAGTGAAAAAATATTTACAAACCGAAGTTTCTCTTTCACATCATTCAAAAGCACTAATTACATCAAAAACAAAACACCTGTAAAGAAATCAACTTCCTCCATGAATGTGTCAGCTCCATTTTTTTTCAAATAAATTTTATACATCCCTTACCCCTTTTATTGAAAGAAAACTGGAAACTGTGTATCATAAAAGAGCCTGGAATATATATGGATAAATGGTTTATAATGCTCCAAATAATTTTAATGAGTTAAACAATGGAACTATATGATGATGGATGTTTTTGAGACACATGTTTTATAAAACCTAATGTTTTGCACTGTAATGTAAAACTCATTTTTTTAATCTTCATCATTCACACAATTACATGATCAATATAGACTTTAAAATGTAATACATTCAACATATCAAAAAATCTCTACAAGTTTACTCTCATACCTTTCAGAACACAATAAAATAATAATTAAATGCACTTAATTTATTCGCATAATTTTTTTACATAAAGCTACAGAATTAAATAATACTAAATTAAAAATACATGACTATTGCATCTTTGAGCGTTTTCTGGCTATAGCATCTTCTACAGCTTTCAACTGTTTTAACAATTCCTCTCGTCGATTAAGTGTGCTCTTTTTCTCCTTTTGTGCAGCAACTTGTGCAAGTGGTGGTTTTACTGGCGTTTTTGTTGGAGATACTGCTGGCTTTGGAGGAGCTGCCTTAGGAATGGGTGCCGGCACTGGTTTACTGGCAACAACAGGTGATTTCTGCTTATCTTGTTTAACTTTAACAGGTTTTGGTGGAACATCTGTAAAAATAAGCAATTGTTAATAAGCTTTTAATAAAATCATAGCTGCACTCAATTTTGCATAATTCCAATACACATAAAATAAAAGCATTAAAATAGAAATTTTTTAAATGAAAATTGATATGTTCATAGGTTTATCAGGTTCCTGTTTGAGAATAGGTTGTTGTTTTATGATAGGTTATGGATTTCATTTTTTGCCCTTTCAAAGCACCCAGAAATATCTACTTAAGGATGTACTAAGCTCAGGTTTAGGAATTTTTGTCAGATGTTCAGACTCCTTGGATTTTTTCCTACGATACAGGGTAAAATATTTTGGCCCATAACACCCATTTTTCTTTTCATATAAGACTTCAATAACTCATAAAATGTCATTTATCAAAATTTAAGCAGATTCTAGATTTCTTTTCTTTCGATTTGAGACCCAAATAATAACAATGCAGATATGAGGTAAAAGTCCGAGTATATATGACTTATAGTATCAATTCTAAATTCTAGATTTTTTTAATTTCACCTAAGTACATCCTTAAGGATACTTGATTTTGTTGTGCAGTTCCAATAACTCAATCATTATAATAAATGCATAGTAGATGTTGCATTTTACGGCCCTATATTAGAGTGTTTACAATGAATAAGTTTGCTTGATAGGTACTACTAGAGGGTAATTAACAACATTGACTACCCATGAGGGTCTGGCACGTTCGGTAGCTTGATACGGGGACAATAAAATCAATATAACCTGTTCATGAACTATTGAAAGATTATTAATCAATCAAATCATTGGACAGATACATAAACAACATAAACAGCTGCGCCATGAGGGCATGATACACCCATCGCATTTTCAAAGAATAAAGTTCAATAACTTCTCAATGTCATATCAGAAATTTGTAAAAATCGAAAGGGAGCTTACATCAATAGATAATAAAATGCTCCGCTGGGGCGCAGCTTGATACGAACGCAGAGGTCGAACCCTGAACAGTTGGGGCAAGTATGGACACAACATTCAAGCTTGATACAGCACTGAATTTGGATTGTAATTAAATATTTGACACAGCATAGGTTTCTGACACAGAATGAATGTGGTCTAAGAACTTAAAATTTTTTAATTTACCTATTCAAACCATATCATTATATTTGCTTTTATATATAAATCAGAAATAACCAATTTCAAATGGAAAATTTTAAAGAAAAAAAGGAAAAAAAAATCCCCCCCCCCCCCCCAAATTTTTTGAACCCCCTTATGATTCATCACCTCAAAACTCAATCCCAGCCTTCCCTTTGTGGTATGGTACCTTGCAGTACAATTTCAGAGAGATCCATACACTTGAACACAAGTTATTGTCTGGAAACTAGAAAAATGCTTATTTTTGGCCCCTTATTCCTAAACATTTTGGGCAATTACCCCCAAACTCAATTCCAGCTTTCCCTTTGTGATATGGAACCTTGTAGTACAATTTCATAAAGATCCATACACTTAAACACAAGTTATTGTCATGAAACTAGAAAAATGCTTGTTTTTTGCCCCTTTTTGGCCCCTAATTCCTAAAATTTGGAGGCAATTACCTCCAAAATCAATCCCAGCATTCCATTTGTGATATGGAACCTTGTGGTACAATGTCAGAGAGATCCATACACTAACACACAAGTTATGTCTGGAAGTTACAAAAATGCTTATTTTTGGCCCCTAATGCCTTAACTGTTGGTACCATAACCCCCAACATCAATCCCCACCTTCCTTTTGTGATATTGAACCTTATGGTAAAATTTCATAGAGATCCATTCACTTAAACTAAAGTTAAAAACCAATATGTCTTCGGACGACGACAACGACGACGCCAACGTCATACCAATATACGACCACAAAATTTTTTTGCGGTCGTATAAAAACAATTCACCAAAGTTTCATGAGAACTGCTAGAAGCATTTTTGAGTTATTGCTGAAAACTGGGTAATCCCCCCTTTTTATATAAAACCCCATAACTCAGAAATGTAAAATCTAAAATTTACAAAAATCGAATGGGAGCTTACGTCAATAGATGTAAACTATTCACCAAAGTTTCACAAGACCTGCTCAAAGCTTTTTTGGAGTTCTTGTCTGAAAACTGACAAATTTCAAATTGGTTTAAGCTCTTTTGAGTTTATGTCCGACATGTTGACGACGGACGGACGGACAGAGGTATACCATAATATGTCCCGTAAACGGGCGTATAAAAAGGGTGACTGAAAAACACTGTTTGACCAGTTTGTTAGTATAGTAACGAAAAATAAAGAATTCATGGTTCAACTAACAAAAAAATAAACTTAACTACAAAGCAGAACATGAAGTACTCAATAAGATCAGCTGTAATACTTTCCCAACCAATAATGACAGAATAAAAATGAGAATGGAAACGGGAAATGTGTCAAAGAGACAACAATCCGACCAAAGAGCAGAAAACAGCCCAAGGCCACCAATGGGTCTCCAACACAGCGAGAAAATCCCACATCCCGAGCGGGCTTCAGCTGGCCCCTAAACAAAAATGTGTACTAGTTCATAGAAAATGGACGTCACACTAAACTCCGAAACATATAAATGAACTGAAATTTAAAATACATACAAGACTAACAATGGCCAGAGGTTCCCAACTTGGGACAGGCGCAAAAATGTGGCGGGGTTAAACAGAATGCATACATCCAGTAAAGCTTGATTATTGATAACTGGTTATTTTTATTTTCTTTTATCAATCATGAAAACCAATCTTTGATAGATTTCAAAGTACAGCTCATTGCTTTTAATTCACATTGTAAAGAATAAACAATAGCAATGGTAAGAGTGTGTCACAATTCTTTTTATGAAATTTATTGTTATCTCTCAATTATCCAAATTGAAAAAAACATTGCAACATCAAGTGGTAAATATACGACAGGACAGCTTAAAATCATCAACAAGAAAATAAGTTTTTCCATGAATTTATTACCAAGCGGTATGGGTTAAATACATCTACCAATTTATTATAGTATACTGATTTGAATTATTATCAAAACTCTTCTGTCCTGTTTTGTCTTTGCAAATAACTCTTTTTTAATTAACCAAAAGGGCAGTTCAAACCTTAAAGGGGCATAAGCTACGAGATATAAAAATAAATGGAGAATGTGTCCCCATGGACACAGATGATGCCCCTGCTTGCATACAACATTATAAAGGGGCATAACTCCAGAAAGGTTAAAGTGACGTCACCAAAATTCATACTTGATCTGTGTTTTGTGGTAATAAGCATTGTGTAAAAGTTTGATAACATTTGGTTGAGGCAAACTTAAGTTAAAGAACGGAAACCAATTTTGGGACGTACGGACAGACGGACAAGGGCAAAACTTAATGCCCCCTCAGCTTCGGCGGGGGCATAAAAATTAAAATATGATTTTTTTTTGTTCAATCATTAATGAAAGTGATGTAGTGAAATAATAATTCGCTTTAAGCAGCTAGTTTTAGTCTAATTTTGTCAAAATAAGCTAAGAAACATCACTGATGAATTATTCACTTGCAAGTGAATAATTCGACCTCAACGAATCGGTATTCATGTGACCTTCAATTGAAGCCATTAGGTAGAGATTGGTCAAACATGTATTAGTCATGTTCAGCCATTAAAAGGAAAATTCTTATACAGGTAAAAATGATTAACTTATTTTTTCAACCTACAACATGAAATCAAACAGACCTAGAAAAGTCCAATTGCACGAGGTCGTTATCTATATATATATCTATGTTTATGTTTATATCGGGTTATGTGATTGTCGGCAGTCTTCGGAGGTCATCTCGATGGTTAATTAGATGGCATAGACTAAGATACACATGATATGTTGAAATATACTATCGAGTCGATGCATTGTTAATTGTTTTTTTCAGCCTTATTGTAATTTGGATATACGTTTTAGTATGTTATAAATCAAATATGAGAATTTGAGTCAAATCGGTGAACATGAATTTGACAGCTAATGCCCCTTTAATACCTCAAAATAAAATGCTCCGCAGGGCGCAGCTTGATACGACCGCAGAGGTCGAACCCTGAACAGTTGGGGCAAGTATGGACACAACATCCAAGCTTGATACAGCTCTGAATTTGGATTGTGATTAAATATTTGACACAGCATAGGTTTCTGACACAGAATGAATGTGGTCTAAGAACTTAAAAATTTTAAATTGGACATTCACCTATTATGGTCAAATATCCAAAATCTAAATACATGGTTAGATTCAGCATATCAAAGAACCCCAAGAATTCAATTTTTGATGAAATCAAACAAAGTTTAATTTTGGACCCTTTTGACCTCAATGTGGACAAAGTTGATAACGGGGCCCAAAAATCAAAAATCTAAATACATGGTTAGATTCAGCATATCAAAGAAACCCATATATTCAATTTTTTTTTGAAATCAAACAAAGTTAAATTTTGGACCCCGATTTGGACCAACTTGAAAACTGGGCCCATAATCAAAAATCTAAATACATGTTTAGATTCAGCATATCAAAGAACCCTAAAAATTCAATTTTTGTTAAAATCAAACTAAGTTTAATTTTGGACCCTTTGGACCTTAATGTAGACCAATTTGAAAACGGAACCAAAAATTAAGAATCTAAATACACGGTTAGATTCGGCATATCAAAGAACCCCAATAATTCAATTTTTGATGAAATCAAACAAAGTTAAATTTTGGACCCTTTGGACCTCAATGTGGACCAATTTAAAAACAGGGCCCAAAATCCAAAAACTTAATACACGGTTAGATTCAGCATATTAAAGAACCCCAAGATTTCAAGAATAAAACCCCATTGAAATTGATCAAGAAATAAGCAATTTATACGAAGTATCTTCTTTTGCACAATACTGTGCAATTGAATATTTCTTGCTATTGCGCAATACTGTACAATTGACAATTTCTTGCTATTGCGCAATATTGTGCTATTGGATATTTCTTGCTATTGCGCAATACTGTGCAATTGAAGATTTCTTGCTATTGCGCAATACTGTGCAATTGAAGATTTCTTGCTATTGTGCAATACTGTGCAATTGAAAATTTCTTGCTATTGCACAATACTTATTATATAATAATTTACACATCCTGTTTGGTGTGTATCTCCTACCATATCATTATTATTTGCTTTTAAATATAAATCAGAAATAACCAACTTAAAATGCAAAATTTTAAAAGAAAAAAAAAATGAAAAAAAGAAAAGAAAAAAAAAAAAAAAAAAACCCCAAATTTTTTGAACCCCCTTATGATTCATCACCCCCAAACTCAATCCCAGCCTTCCCTTTGTGGTATGGTACCTTGCAGTACAATTTCAGAGAGATCCATACACTTGAACACAAGTTATTGTCTGGAAACTAGAAAAATGCTTATTTTTGGCCCCTTTTTGGCCCCCAATTCCTAAACGTTTGGGGCAATTACCCCCAAACTCAATTCCAGCTTTCCCTTTGTGATATGGAACCTTGTAGTACAATTTCAGAAATATCCAAACACTTACACACAAGTAATGGTCATGAAACTAGAAAAATGCTTGTTTTTTGCCCCTTTTTTGGCCCCTAATTCCTAAAATTTTGAGGCAATTACCCCAAAAATCAATTACAGTCTTCCCTTTGTGATATGGAACCTTGTGGTACAATGTCAGAGAGATCCATACACTTACACACAAGTTATTGTCTGGAAGTTACAAAAATGCTTATTTTTGGCCCCTTTTTGGCCCCTAATTCCTTAACTGTTGGTACCATAACCCCCAAAATCAATCCCAACCTTCCTTTCGTGGTATTGAACCTTATGGTAAAATTTTATGGAGATCCATTTACTTAAACTAAAGTTAGAGTGCGAAAACCAATGTGTCTTCGGACGACGACGACGACGACGCCAACGTCATACCAATATACGACCAAAAAATTTTTAATTTTTGCGGTCGTATAAAAACATTGAAATCTAAAGACTTCTCACTAAAATGAATATTTAAGAAAATAACTTTACTTTGTACAGGTTCTGGAGGAGGTTTGACTGCTTGTCTTTTGGCAGGAGGTCCTGCTTTGGTATCTGCTGGACGTTTCTTCCCTGCTGGAGCAGACTCTGATGGTTTATCACTAGCCTACATACGAAATCAAAATAATAAATTCTTTTCAAATAATAAAAGCTTTACCAGAAAATTATTTTACCATAAGGTTTCATTTTCTTCAAAGCATTAGAAAAATTTGAAATTCAATAAAAATTTCAGTAAAAACAGTAGTTGCCACGAATGATCCCTAAAGGCTGCATATTTTTCTTTTTCTTTTTCTTTTGTGTTTTGATTTTTCTTAAAAAGTATAGTTCCTTCTCTTTCATTAAATTGGAAAAGGAATCTATGGTATTACTTCATAAATGTCATTTAACAGGCATGACTTAAACTACTACATAAGTAAACTATTTTCCAATTAAAATATAAAACATGTAGATAGTTATACTAATTTCTTATCAAATATTTAAAATATTCCAACAGAAATGTTCTTTTTTGCAAATTTTAGCTGATCACTAAAGCATAGTAAAACATAATTAGTTTTGCTTTTCTTTTAATATCTCACCTTCTTGTTGCCTAGAAGTGTAAGTTTAATATTTGGCTTTTGACCTGTGACCTTTAACATATCTTTAGCCTTGCTGGTTAATCCAGGACCTTGTGGCCCTTTACCATCGCCCCGACTACTTTGTCTTGCTACTCTTGGTGATTGCTTTTTGTTCCCAGCAGGTGGAGGTTTTTTCTTTTTAATGGCTATAATTGCAAAAAAATAATGAGAAATAATTCATTGCAGCCTAATTTACAACATGTCATGTAAGTGTTAATCTTTTATATTGCAAGTCGGTAGGGGACTAATAACAACTGTTTCAACAAATACCACGTTTTGGAACTAAAATTGGTCAGTAAAAGTCCTGAGCAATATGGCTTTTAATACCGTTTCAATGTTTATATAGCTTTAGGTAAAATCCAAATGATATTTGCCAGTTGCAACTAAATCATTTAATAACTGTAAGAGTTTTGTATTCATTTTTACAAGTTTCTGAGAGATGGACGCAGCAAAACACCCAACTAAATATATATAAATGAAAAGTGTTCCCATGTCCCCCTCAGATGAACACATTTCATCTGTCCAAGGGCAATAACTCAAATATTTATATGTTTATTGTTTTACTTTTAAAATTTTTCATACATATTCTACAATCATACTAGAAATGTAAGTGTCCTATTGCTTACCATGCAATTTCCATTAATATTTTTATTTTGAAGGGGGCACAACTCCTGCAAAAATACTTGATTGGCTCTGATTATTGAATTATTTCAAAACTTTGCTGCTATAAACCTTTGATATGTATTTCATAAAAATCTGATCAATGTGTCCAGCATAGTTATTATACATGTCATTCTGTACTTACATGGGAAGAGCTGATAAAAGGTTAATCATGCCAAAATATCATGTGCATTTATCATATACCAAGGATCAGTGTATTAAAATTTCATAAGCATCCCATTTATCTGCCAAAAAGAACAGAATTTGGTGGATCATCAAGCAACATACATTATGAAACTACCTGGCGTTTAACTGAACTGGACAATCAGCTATGTGAAAATATTCTTACTGGTCACTTACGTTTTTTCTTGGGAGAAGGTGATGGAGAACTGCCACGACCTCCAACTCCTCGGTATAAATGTTCGGAGTCAGCACTTCCACTAGAGGTACTTGTTGAATGACTACTGCCTGATGATATACTACTAGCACTAGATGATCGGGATGAAGATGACCCTGATGAATGACTTCTTGAGAAACTGCTTCCACTTGAACTTCTTTTTCTACCTTTTCCTCTCCTATAAATAAAGAAATGCATGTCTTTGATGTCCAGTATCAGAAACTTTCCAGGTAAAATGGCAGACCTAAAAGATTGTTTTGAAAACAGTCCTATCTATTGCATTACCTTTTTGCCAACAATCTTAATAAAGCTTTAGTGTGGTCTCATACAACGACTTTATTTTGTTATCAATATTTTTTTTTAATTTGAAGATTTGAGAAATATTTACAGTTAAGTGTGTTATACATAGTTTGTGTACCTGTCATAAGCCAGGAGTTAAACAAGAATATCATGTTATTTTCATTCTAATTTAAACATTTTAATCATTATTGAGAATTATCAGTTTGACCTTCCCTATTTGTTGTTTTTTAGGACTGACATTGAGTTTTCTGTTGAGAAAGGATTTGTAATTTATATCTATTCATGAGACAATGAAAACACACAACTACTTTGCCTTTTTTCATTCATTTATATATAAATAGAGAATGCGTCCATGGGATACAGATGATGCCCCCTTGCATATTACGTTATAAAGGGGCATAACTTAAGAACGGTTAAAGCGACGCATCCCAAATTCAGCCTTGATTTGTGTTTCCTGGTAATAAGCATTGTGTATGAGTTTCATAAAATTTGGTTGAGGCAAACTAAAGTAAGAGAACTGAAACCAATTTTGGGATGTACGTACGAAAGGACAAGGGTAATACTTCATGCCCCCTCTGGTGACAGCACGGGCATAAAAAAATCCAACCATCCTAAAATGCATTCTAAAGTGCTCTGTTTTTTTCAAGTGATTGTTTATAGAATACAATAAAATTGAGAATGGAAATGGGGAATGTGTCAAAGAGACAACAACCCGACCATAGAACAGACAACAGCAGAAGGTCACCAACAGGTCTTCAATGCAGCGAGAAATTCCCGCACCCGGAGGCGTCCTTCAGCTGGCCCCTAAACAAATATATATACTAGTTCAGTGATAATGAACGCCATACTAAACTCCAAATTGTACACAAGAAACTAAAATTAAAAATAATACAAGACTGACAAAGGCTAGAGGCTCCTGACTTGGGACAGGTGCAAAAATGCGGCGGGGTTAAACATGTTTATGAGATCTCAACCCTCCCCCTATACCTCTAGCCAATGTAGAAAAGTAAACGCATAACAATACGCACATTAAAATTCAGTTCAAGAGAAGTCCGAGTCTGATGTCAGAAGATGTAACCAAAGAAAATAAACAAAATGACAATAATACATAAATAACAACAGACTACTAGCAGTTAACTGACATGCCAGCTCCAGACTTCAATTAAACTGATTGAAAGATTATGTCTTCATCATATGAATATCAGGCACAATCCTTCCCGTTAGGGGTTTAGTATCATACCATCATAACATATATGAGAAGAACATAACCCGTGTCATGCCAACAACTGGTTTTTAAATAAATGTGTTTAGTGCCGATGCAAAGACCCTATAAGTGAATCAATATTAACGCCAAAATATGCAATCTTTAATGACCTGACAACAGTATCGTAACTATATCCCTTCTTAATAAGTCTATTTAAAGGTTTTGTTAGCTTCAGAGGTGAATACTGACATTTTTGTGCTTTATAAAGAATATTTCCATAAAAAATTGGATGTGAAATACCTGAACGTATAAGAAGTCTGCATGTTGAGCTATATTTACGAATGATGTCCTTATACCGATGATAAAATTTAGTAAATGTTTTGACTAGTTTGTGATATCGAAAACCCTGGTGTAATAATTTTTCAGTAATACATAAATTTCTCTCGTTAAAATCTAAAACATTGTTACATACACGAGCGAATCGTACAAGTTGAGATATATAAACACCGTAAGATGGTGACAAGGGAACGTCACCATCTAAAAATGGATAATTAACGATAGGAAATGAAAAATCATCTCTTTTATCATATATTTTAGTATTAAGCTTTCCGTTAATGATATAGATATCAAGATCAAGGAAAGGGCAGTGGTCATTGTTAGTATTAGCTTTATTTAAAGTAAGTTCAACAGGATAAATTTCTTTAGTATACACACTGAAGTCGTCATTATTGAGAGCCAAAATATCATCCAAATATCTAAAAGTATTATTAAATTTGTGTATCAGATGTTGTTTCGATGGGTCTTTGCTAATTTTTGTCATAAATTGTAACTCATAGCAATACAAAAAAAGGTCCGCAATAAGTGGTGCACAGTTAGTCCCCATTGGAATTCCGATAACCTGACGATATACGGAATCTCCAAAGCGAACAAAAATGTTATCTAGTAAAAATTCAAGGGCATATATAGTATCAAAACATGTCCAATTGACATAGTTTTTTTGTTTATTGCTACTAAAAAATGACCTAAAAGAGTTTGAACATATATATTCACATTCTGACTTTTTAAATGCCCATTTAATTAGGTGTGTGAATTTTTTCTTAATGAGAATGTGAGGCAATGTGGTATATAGGGTAGAGAAATCAAAACTTTGAACAGATTCAAAATCACCAATATATGCATGCAATTTATCAAGTACTTCCAACGAGTTCTTGACACTCCAAAAGTAATTAATTCCACTATTTTCGAAGGCCTTATTTGAACAATTTATTATCAGGTTTTTGATTGTACCAAGTGTACTGGTAAGAAGAATAGACAATTTAGTAGTGGAACAATGGCTTGAAGACGAAATGAATCTATATTTGTAAGGTGTTTTGTGTAGCTTCAGAAGCCAATACATAGTTGGGACTTTCATTGTATTTGGTTCTGCTTGTAAAGCGGTAGCTAAAAGTTTATGTTTGTTACAGATGTCGTTTTCTGAAAATGGAGTCAGTTGGAATGTTGGTGAATTAGTGATTTCTTTTTTCAGAACCTCAATGTAAAATTTACGTCAAACAATAATAATATTATTAGCAGCTTTATCGGCCGGGACAAAAACAAATTCCTTGACTAGTTCTTTTAGTTTATGTTTGATACGAGAAATAGGTTTATTGTGGTTATTGTTAAGAGTAAAATGTTCTTTAAAATGTTTATTTACTATTTACTTTTCTGTTCATCATATTTTTCACACATATAAATTTTGGGAGACAATTACTACAATTTCTTCCAAATGAAAACATGGATCATTTCCTAGTCTATCAAGAATAGAAGTGATATATAACTTCATTCAGACCTACTTAAAAGGCAGCCTGGGTCTAAAAATATTTAGTGTGCTTTCCATGGAGGTGGTGGTCATATTTAAATGAAATGCACAAGCCCAACATTTTGTTTCATATAAAGTGATTAAAACAACAAAACCATTGATAGAATTTCAGAACAATAAATATTTTATGCACTGACACATTCCAAATGCACTGACACATTCCAATTGCACTGACATATTCCAATACACACAAAAAAAATTTTCACTACTGTCAATTTATAATATTGAATATACTTCTTCTCCACTTAGATAATTTTTGTATGTCAAAATTCTACTATTTGAATATTCGGAGAAAGGGCTGTTCCATTAAAATATACATTGAACCCAGGGAAGGCAATTTGAAATGTCATCTAGGAGAGGTCAAGTACAAAAAAAAGGGGGTGAAATTTTTAATTTGTCTTTAGGGGGTGTTACTGCATTTTGAAAGTGTCTTCCCTAGGTATCATGCATGTTTAAATTGATTATTGAACAGCCCCAAACAATGACAACATTATCGATTGACTATTTAGTTTGAATATGCTAAATTATGTATTTACCCTGCAGGTTTAGGAACATTTCTGTCTCTGCCTCTCCCCCTTCCTCCTGGGGGTAAAGGTTGCAAAGGAGGACCAGCTCCTGAGGGTTGTTTCTTAGGAGACGTAGCCTGTGCACTGGATCGTCTTTTTGTTGGACTCTTTGGTGCTTTTGATTTCTGACCTGCAGTTTTAGTAGCATCTGGTCTGAAAATAAATACACACTTCTCTTCATTTTTCTTCTTGCATTTATGTATCATCAACATTGTGATTTAAGATTGGTATTAAATAAGATTTTTTTCTTTTCTGAATATGAACTTCTATTAAAGAATATACCAGTATCATGTTCTGGGAATTTTACTAAGAACCCATTTTTATTTCGCCCAGGTTGACCCAATAATAGTTTTTGATCTGTGATGTCATAATATTCTGTGTTGAGGAAGAAAATTTACAGAAAAAATTTCACTTTCTGTAATGGCAGACAACCTAAAAAACTGTAAAAACTTCAATCAATTATTTTTTTCAAAAGCTTTTCTTTGTGAGATTTTAAATTGACAATTTCAGACTTTTCATGTAATGTTATTGGAAAAAAATCCTTTCATTTATGGATATGAAATTTCACGAAAACAGGCACCCAACAAATAATTCTACCTCCACATTATGATTTATTAAGGAACTATAAATTCTTCAGGGTAGCCTATTGAGTCAATTATAATTCAATGACCAATCAATGTTTAATATTGGTTATGGTATTTCATTGATATATGCAATAACTAACTTTAATGATAACAAATTGAACAGTATGAATATTGCAAAAATTAAATCTCGCATTAAAATCTTTTAACATTCTAATCCATGATTAGAAATCACATAAATTAAACTTATGTATAATTATTGTCAAAGATTTGATATAAGAGAGTAAACAAACTTCAACAATGAAAGAATCCTGTTTTGTAATAACTCTTAACACCCTATTGAATATTTAGAGTGCTAAAGCAAACAACTTCTTGACTAAGTATTTAAACTATCAGCAACTTTTTTCTGTACAGGTAATATTGTTTGCCATCACCAACATCAACTTCAATGTTTGGTAACACTCTGCTAAAAAACTATCTCCCTCCATGCAAGCAAGCTATAATACTGCCACCAAAGTATCTACGAATTTAGTTTGGTATCTACTTAAGTATCATCAAAGTATGACTATTTATACTGCCATCTTGGCATGTTGCTACTAATCTCATGTATTCCAACTCTGCCTTTATTACGACAAAAAGAGTGTAATCATTCAAAATTAAAATTTGCAGACAAATGATATGCAGTATGTCTCTTTGATTTTTTAGTCGTAGGACAGGTATTTCCAACACTATATTTTTCATACCCAGACTTTGGAGGTCTCTTAGGAACATTACGTCTTTTTACTGGGCTCTTGGATGGTGATCTTGAATTTCTGAATAAGATACATGTACATACAACTTCATAGTTCAAATTATGAGATTTAAGTCCTACAAACAGATTGTGTAATAAGTCAACTAAATTTTTACATGAAATGTACATAAACATCAAAAACAATATTTCTATACATCACTTTTCTACATCTTAGTCACTGATTCTGACTACTATGATAACAATTGTTTCTAAATTTGTCCTGCAATCAATCATTCTACTATACAAATACAGGTATACAGATAATATGAAGTGATATTCATATAGCCTACATATTAAGTCTCCTGGTATCCTGCTTCTGTTGCGAGCAAACTGTTAAATTCAAAATACTGTTTACATCACAGTTCAATATTAGGTCCTCATATCAGTCCATGTTTAAGTCATGCCAATTTCATTAAAAAAAAGCTGAAAATTCAAAAACTGTACTTTTAAGTGTAAGTGTTAAATTGTAGGATGATAAAAAAATATTGGAGCATTGCAGGAAAATATAAAACTTAGTTGCACTTGCCAAGAAACAGTAGCAAATCTTGGCGAGCCTCACCTTTCTTTCTGTTTCTATAGCTCAAACCAATAAATTAAATATTTTCCTACAATATACGAATATTGAATATTTATCCTAACTTTAAAAAAAAATCATTTTTATATTAGCCAGTCTACTAAAATAATCAATGTAATTTTCTTTGAGAGAGTTAAATTTTTTTATAAACTTTCATTTCTGTTTATAGTATTATCCTAAATGCAATTCTTTGAGGCTTTCAACATTGGGACATCTATAAAATAAAAAAAATAAATTCAAAACTAATCTAAAATCATATCCTTATTCAGTTGAAAATCTCTAAGTAGTCTCTGAACTATCGACTTATAAGAATCATGTATCTGTTTGTTCAATGGGATAAATAAAGTTTCACCCTATCTGACATTCGTACAACAGTTTTTTTTTCAAGCTTTTTTTACACCATTTCCACTGACAATTCTGTCTAAGGACTAATGCATAATGTAAGCAGCCTACCAAACCCCATATAAGAATACCCAATACCAACATGCAAAATCTGCAAAACGGTAAAAACATCTGCAATTTTGAAAATAGTATAAAATATTGGGCGCTTCATGCAAGGAAAGTCCAACTTCCAATTTGAAGACTGAAAATATCTTTTACCTGAGAAATCTCATACGTCTAAAATACATAACAAACTTTATATTTCATTCATAATGCTGCAACATTTTACACCTATGAAAGCATTTTCCTGATATCAAGTTCGTTTAAGGTAGGTTTAATCATATAAACTGGTCACTTTGAATCTAACAAAAATACTTCCTGGATAAATTGAAAAATGGAAGCAAGTGTCTGCACACACATTACAACTCATCACTCTTGAGCTGCTAACTAAATATAAAGTAATTCTATTTAGTAGTTTTTGAGAAAAGTGTGATAAAAATTTCAAATTCATTCAACATATTGAAAAATTTAAAGTATCAGCAAACAGGAATTAGGTATTTCAAAGATGACGACGGATATGTTCCATATGTTGTAACCTCAATGTCCTCCTCTTTTCCCTGAATATGACCTATCAAATGAGACTTATCATCACATTTATACTTACATGAGCAATACTACAGGTGCCACATGTGGAGCAGGTTCTGCTTACCTTATGAAGAAACATGAGATCACACCTTTTTTGGTGGGTTGGTGTTGCTCGGTCTTTAGTTCTTTTTCTATGTTCTGTTATGTGTATTGTTGCTTGTCTTTTTCCTTTTTTTTTGCCATGGTGTTGTCAGTTTCTTTTTGACTTATGAGTTTAAATGTCTCTTAGGTATCTTATGCCTCTCTTTTACAGATCAAATCAGTGCACACACATTACAACTCATCATAGTCATGCTGCTGACCAAATATGAAGTAATTCCCCATCCCCTCAACAATTTTAGAGAGGGGGTACAATAGATTATCCATCCTCCAGATATCCAAATGCAACTACAGTTTTCCAGAAAAAGAGGGAAACCAAGATGAAACTCGGCATAGGAAGGATACTTGTACAATAAAGAGTTCATTCAGCTGTTGTTTATTTTGACTATTTTTTATGTAGGTTTTGAATGTCACATGATTTGTAATTTTTCAACAATAAATAAAACTTTCAATAAAAATGATTTTGCTGTACTTACTTTGAACTAGCTGATGATGAACGACTGCCTGACGAACTTCTGCTGTATGAACGACTGTATGAAGAAGACCGTGAACCAGAACGTGAGGACCCTGAGAATGAACTGCTCAAAAAGAAAATGAAAGTGCTTGTGAGCAATGAAAGGTAAAGATTGCATTCATTTTGCAGTGGGAACTCAACATAAAACATTTCATTGTATGTATACGCATTTGAAGGCAATATTTGGATCCACTACAATTATGGACAGTTTTAAATATTACCTAGAATAGATACAAAATTCATGCACATTGCACAATTAATGTAATTGTTTTGAACAACATACACATCATTTTGTAATTTGAATACCTAAGTATATATTTCATTAATAAATTTCTTTAAATGTTCATTAATAGGATGTATAGAATGGTATGCTCAATGCACTATGTTTTTATATTATCTCAAAAGTAGTAATAAAGTTTGGAAAATTGATAACTATCAAGCCAGCACCATAAGGTTTTGATTGCATGAATTTGATCTTGTGGATTATACATCAATGAAACAGCAACCCAAAAAGTTTACCTTCCTACATATCAGAGCCTTTCTCTTAATTTCCTGTAATTCTATGATGAATTGGTCATATTTGTGAATTGTGTTTATTTCATCACAATCTTACTTTACTGTAAACTTGGAAATGCTTTTGGAATATTTTTACTGTGGATTCAATATAATTCGTGGGACGCCAATTTTTCGTTGATTTTACAGATACAGGTGAACCACCAATTTGAATGTTCAACGAAATACAAATTTTTATAAGCTTGTATGCAAACTCTGTCAAACCATGATAAAAATATCCACAAAAACTCAAGATTTCCTTGATCCACTAAAATTGATACCCACTAAAATAAATGAATCCACAGCATTTGGCAATCATGTGAAATGCTAAAAAAAAAATCCCCCATACAAATAGCTTGTAGAATGCAAACAATATTGAAATCGAAATGCGTTATCTGTTGATGACTGGAAATATCCACCTTTACAGTATAACCTTAATATTCTGGTTACAGACCTGAAGTTGATTGCCTAATAACTAATATTTTCCTATAGTACTTGGGATCTTTGTTAACTATATACATAAGTAAACCATTTGCATTTCTATTTTTCTTGAAAAGTAAAGTTTACCTGGATGAAAATGAGGATGAATAACTATGTGAACGACGATTCTTCCGTCGAGCTCTGGAATGACTTCGTGAACTTCTGCCTTTATTTTTAGGAGACTTTGACCTACACAGCAAATAATGCAGTTTTTAGAATTATTTATGCGAAATACAATAATATAATAAAAGTTCATATATATTTACCAATTTTCCTTGTAACTAGACTTAGAATGGTCAAATATGCTACCAGCTTAGCTAATATAACAAGATAAAGCTGAAAAGTTATTGCACAGACATTGTAATAAAACTGACAGACAGGATTATTTCTCCTTTTTAAACATGCGTTAAGTTTTATCACTTTTGCAATTACAATTGGTGATTGTTTTTTATCTAAAATAGTTATGACTTCTATTGCTCTGATTCAAATTGTAAAAAAGATACATAGAACAAAAAATCTTCAGTAAAAAATAATGAACAGGTTAAATTTCATCAAAACTTTATTAATACCGTTGCCATGGATCCTGCCAATGATCAGCAGCTCTGGGTCTGTTAAATGTTTGTGGTGGTTGATTATTGACTCTATCATCTGTGTAATCTTTCCGTCGATCAATTTCTCTTCTTTTTTCATATCTACATAAATAAAATTAAGTAAAACAATGAGTAAACATAATATTTTAAACATGGACAAAAATTAATCATTACATAAAATACATTAGTAATTCATCAGACATTAGTTTTAATTATTGTAACTGCTGCATGTATGACATTCAAATATAACAAGAATGCAGGTGTTGTCTTCCTTAATATAAAGTATCAGCAAACAGGAAGTACATGTCTGAAACATCCGAAAAAGCTCAATATAATATTCTAATAAAAAATTTAAAACATGGGACTTCATTGCATGAAAGCCATCATATCTGCTTGTTAAAACCAGTATTTAATATAGATGATTTTTATTTCAACATCAATTCTGATGTTTAAGTACTAATTGTCTCCAGTGGTGACAAATTTCTCTTTTGAGAACACACCTATTTAACTGGTTTTCCCCATTTTCTTTTGAAAAAGTAGAATTTAAGCGTATGGTTAGAAATACTCACATTATGAGCTAAAATATGGTAATTCATTTGGACCTGGACTATTGCTTACTGTATTTCAATCCAAGTATCACAATTACCTCAAGGTATTTAATCATAAAACAGAACAAAGCCTTACCTATGAATATGTGGCGGTGAATAATGTCGTGCAGGATAATCAAAATGTTCTCTTTCCTGCAAAATAGAACAAATTCAAAATTGTAGATATATTTATAGTTAAATTAATAAGGGTTTGTTTGCTTTCAACAATCATGACTATATCATGGGCCATTCATGGCGGCGGAAGCTGGAGTACCTAGAGAGAACCAGCGACCTTTAACAGGAATTTTTGTATTCCTTATCAATTAACATCGAAGTCAATTCAAGATACAACTCACAACCTTAGAGTTGAGAGATAGTGATTAATTTCAAAATTGGAATTTTAGCACTATGTTTATACAGTCCAATATTAAAATATATCAAATTTACACAGAAAACATATTTCTGTCAGATCCATTTCAGGATAATTCTGGATTGTTTTCATCTTCAAAATAAGTATCTTAACATTATACTTATTCTAATCCCCTATTGGTTTGAGTAAATTAAGTGCAGCCATTAGTTTAAAAAACAACATACTGTCATTAAATACCTGTTACATTTTTCCTAAAATTTCGGAGAAACAGAACTGTGAATACTTTTAAGACTCAGAATGGTTTGAGTTGTTAAATATTGGAATAGCAAATCTTGAATACTTTGATTTTTATGACCAAAATATGGGCGTCATTGACCTATATTGGCAATTATCAGATTACTCACAGTCTAGTGTTGAAATGTTTTTGAACAGGTTAAAACTTACTCTTGGTATATAAGGAGGTGGCATCCATTCTGGTTCCCTGTTCCATCTGACTTCAAAATTTTCATATTGTGCTGGATGCCACATATTTGGTGGCGGCTCCACTGGAGTACGATGTAATGGCACTTTATCATAATATTCGTCATCATATCTAAAACAGATTTATGTGAAAACAGACTGAATGATTGTTGTTCATTTTAAGTCAAGCGACATATATTTTTGACAGATATAGGATAAGGAATTGTGAAACTAGAAATGTAAGACAAATATTTTTCTCAACTTTTTAGCTAAAACAAATTTTAAAGGCAGACATCAAGTTTGTAAGCATGTGAGTCGAAGTAAATATAAATACTCACATATTAAGAATAAGAACAATTACAAAAGTTATTGAAAAAATAAAAACATAACCTACACTTGGTCTTCATAAAAGGGATTCTGTCTGTCATTTTCTTTATTGAATTCTCTCTCTTCATCCACAGACAAATTCAATTTCTTTTCTTCAAAGTCAGGTTCTTGTTCTTTTCTTTTGTGAGCTTTTTTCCTCAGCTGCAGAAAGAGATACTCGACTTACTTTTTATATGTATCTTAAACAAATCATTATATGGATTTTAAAAAAATTCCTTCTAAAATTTATTTCTAAATATGAATTAAATGTAAGTACATGAAAAAATCATTAAACCATGATTCGAGTACAATTGTTCATGTACATGTATGTGTGAAAGGCAATACTTAAAAAATAAAAGAAGAATGTATCCATGGAACACTGATGCCCCCACTTGTAATTATGCAAGAGTCAATGTTCTAATTCATACCGTTTGATGTTTTGTTTACTTTGAAACTTAATGACATTTGTTTCTGTATGTTGTCATAAAAGATTGCTCAGGGGTTTGAGTGCTCTCATTTTTCAATAACAAACAGTAATGGGGGTAACTCAAGAACGGTGAAAGTGAAGCCACCCAAATTCGAAAATGATCTGTGTTTGGTGGTGATAAGAATTGTGTATAAGTTTCATAATATTTGGTTGAGGTAGAGTAAAGTTAGAGTGCAGAAATGGCAAATTCACCAATTTTTCCATTTATAAAGGGGCATAACTCCAGAACAGTGAAAGTGACAGCATCCAAATTCGAACTTGATAATTCTGTAAAAGTTTCATAACATTTTTTTAAAAAGGTAGAGCTGAAACAGCAAATTCACCAATTTTTTTCTTTAAAAAAGGACATAACTCCAGAAAGGTTATCTATTTTAAATTTTGATCTATGTTTGGTGGTAATAAGCATTGTGTATAAGTTTCATATTATTTGATTGAGGCAAACTAAAGTTAGAGAACAAAAACCAATTTCGGGACTGATGTACATATGGTCGGACATACTACATACGGACAAGGGTAAACCTTAACGTCTGCCACACTTGTCGAGGCCATGAAAATTTGTGTACTGGATCAAATATGATAAAAAGTTTTACTTCTTTTGCATGTCTTAATCCTCTCTCCCATGCAGACTCTACAGGTGCAGCTTTAGGTGGTGGAGGAGGAGGTGGAGGCAAGTCTTCCTCTTCCATCTACAAATCAAATATATCAAATAATATTATACATGTGTACTATACTTTCTTAATTGGTTTTAACTGTGCAATTGGTTTTTTTAAAAGATATCATATTTAATTTTGATTTCTGTCGTGAAAGAAAATTATAGTTTTCCAGAATCAAGCTCCCTAATCAAGTGCAGTGCAGAACTTTTCATTGACTATACATCTTTGGTTCTTAGTACAAAACCCATTTTATTCAATTTTTCAATTTTCAAAGTCTGAAACTACATTACACATTCTGACATGTCACTAATTTAACATTTTCACTGAAGAGACTTCCTAGCTTCATCATGATAATACAAAATATGAAAAAAACCTTCTAATTTTCTCTAATATATCAACTTTTATAATGAAATAACTGGATTCTGTAGATAGGCTCTAGATGAATCTTTTGGACATCAAGTTCAGAAAATCAATGGGTCTTAGACTAATTTTCATAAAATATTTGTCTTAATGAAGACTTGCACTGATTGGTTAATATATTTCTGCTATAAACATTAATGTCAGCAATTTTTCCTTGATCATTTTCATTAAACCTGATCAATGAAAAAGAGACAGTTCAATTTTAGTCTTGATATAAGCTGTCTTCATAGAACAACCATCATTTATGATGAGATTATGTAGGTAGCACTGTTATATAAATTTATTGATTGTGATTGTTTACTGGGATTAAATACACTTGTGTTAACTTTATAAATAGTTAAAAAGACTGCCTAAGTCAGAATTTTTTTTTTAATGAAATATGAAAAATTAAAACATTTGCATTTCAAGCGGACAATGTGATAACAATAATCTATACCTCTTCCCATGGTGGAGGTGCTGACTTGTCTCCAGGTTCTTCAAACAGTCTGTAATTCCCTAAAATACAAGTGTTGCAACGATATTTATCAAGTACCTAAATGGTATGTCTGAAAACCAATATAAGCAAATAAATACAGGGTACAATTCTATCTTTTAGGAAGATAAAGGCTTTTTTTAAACGATTGTCATTTTATCCACCAGGCCTGATTAACATTGTCTTTTCTCCTGCGATACTTCGAGCAATCTGCAAAAAAATGGTTGTTTCCTGGCTTTTCACAAAATATAGAAAAATTTGGTTGAAATGCGAAAATATAAAATTCAAGGAGTTGTAATAATGATTACCTATGAGACAAGTTGCCACCAAAGACTAAAGGAAAAGATGTCAGCACAAACAGATGATCCTGTCTTAAATAACCAAAACTCAAACCTTACAGTAAGCTATGAAAGCTCTCAAAAACTAATATATTACACAATTCAAGAAAAAACTATGGCCTTAATTAATCAAGCTAATTACATTAAATGAAAAACAATTATGTCAGGTAGTAACGACAACCACTGGACTTCAGGTAAAACCCATAATTTTCATAATCAATTTTTTCAGGTTTCAGAAAAAAAAAAAATGAAATTTATACCAATTTTGACACCCTTTTGTCAGAAATTGCATTTTTTGGCAAAAGTTACTAAATCTTGATTTAATTTTTTTTCCAGTAATAAAACTGCCTCCCGAAATAGAATGATATTGACCAACTATACACCATTTACTTTATTTAACTTTTCAGCAAAGGCTATCTGTAATTTAGATTTTAAAATTAATACATTCTATTCAATTTCGTAAAAAAGGAGATTTTTCACAAGTCGATGCTGATAAGTAATATGCATCAGGAAGCTTACAAGTGTCCTACTCTTTTTGACAAAGTTCAAGATTATTCCTTTAATGCATCATTAAGAAAAGGACAGGTGCATTTAAGGATAAAAAAACTTTATCTTGATGTTTGCAAATTTTAAAACATCACATATTGACTTATAAAACAAGATGGCAGTCTGCATATATAGACATTAAGTTTAATAAGGTTTATCCACCTTCAGCATGGCATTTACCTTTGTCATTAACACCAGGGTGTAAAAATCTACAATTACTGCCCCAAGTACACAGCCCTCTCATAAAAAATCTACACGTAGGTTTAACAAATGGCTTCCGACTACCAGGTTCTTTTATTTCTCCTTCTTCACAGTCATCATCCTGTAAAAACATAAAAGAACTAGAAACTCACCAAACTTACTGACAAAGCAAATGGATAGTTATTTGCAGAAAGTTATTACCATTAACATACTGACTATCCCGTTGAACAGCTTCAGTTATATATGTACAAAAATATGTGCATAATATGGAAGCCCTTTTTCACGCATCGTTTTTCTGTTTTAATTGTTCTTTATTGCATATTTGTGTTTCACCAACAAATTTCATAATTAGACATAATTAATCTAGCTTGGCAAATACAGTATTTTTTATCTGCCTGAGACACATATGAAAAGGCTGGCATATTTTAAGAACACAAGATATGTCAATATGAAGCTGCTGACTATAAAATTGACCACAAAAAGAATGTATTGTCCACACTTTTAATTTGCTTGGAAACATATTGTACAAAGTTGTGAGTGGATAGAAATATTCATGAAAATAATGTACAATGAGCTGAAACTACAAATTAGACTTACATCTTCAACTTCGCCATCATCCTTGTCAGAGTCATGTTCTCCCTGTAATATATATATTTGTAAAACTTAAAATATTATACAGACATATATGTGTGAATTAATATTGTAATTAATTGAGGCTAGTTATTAACTAAATATATATATAATGCACAACTACATACATGAGTTTAAGTGACTGTAATTCTCACTAAATACAGGGTGTATTAACAACATGCAATGCAAGAGTTTTTTGGTACTGTCGATGTCAACAATGTAATTTTTTTTTATCTCATTTGTGATTTTAAATAATCTGTACAGCATGCTACTCAATAAAGCAAAAAAAAAAAACATCTGTTATACTTTATATACAATAATCATATTTCTTAAACAGTACATTTTTTGTTCTTGTATTATTCAAGTAGTTATTGTCAATAAATGAAACAATAGCTCTCTACTCACATCCTCTCGTTCATTAAGATCTTTCTTTTCTTCACCATCTTTGCTGTCTTCAAACTTGTCTTTTTCATCTTTTCCAACCTCGTCTTCATCTTCGTCCATGTAATCTAATTCGCCATGATCATCAGCAATACTAATATGAGACCTAACTTTTTCACTATGTTTATTTTTAGCACTTTTTTCTGTGACAAGTATTCCTTTCGGTGGTTTTTCTTCGTCACTAAAAGAATCATCATCAGATATGTCTTTATATTCCTTCTCCAATCGCTGAGCTGGACGATCATTGAATGAAGAAATGCCATTTGGAACCTTACTTTGTAACTTTTCTCCATCTTCTGATGGTGACCCAGGACCATCTGGGGATTTTGGACCCTTTTCTCCATCACTGGGAAAACTTCCATTTTCAGACACAGGAGAAGGGGGAGACAATTCACCATCAGAAGTAGGAGAAGCAGGTCCACTGAGATCATATTTAGAGAGTTTAGTTTCCCCTTCTTCCAGTTCCTGATCACTTTCTTCAGAAACTGGAGAAGCAGGTCCAATCATAGAATCAACTTTTCTATTTTCACTAACTTCCCCTTGTTCTTTATCACTCAAATCAGACACAGGGGAAGTTGGTCCGAATGCAGATTCAATTGTCTTTGATTCAGTTATTTCTCCTAGTTCTTTATCGCTTATATCAGAAACAGGGGATGCTGGTCCTAACATAGAATCCATGCTTTTATTAGAACCTTTTCTTTGTTTTGTATCACAAGAATCAGATACTGGGGATGCAGGTCCTAAAACCGAATCTTTATTTCTACTTTGAGTTACCTCCCCTTCTTCCTGTTCACTGTCAGTATTATCAGACACTGGAGATGCAGCTTCTACAATTTCACTCTTTTTCAAACCATGGGAAGTTTCTTCTTGTTCAAAATCACTCTCATCTGAAACTGGTGAGGTTGGACCAAGCATGTCGTTCTGTTTTGATTGAAAGTTTTTAAAATCTTGAGATTCCCCGTCATCTGAAACTTGGTCAAATATTTTTTCTGATTCCATTTGCGGACTTTGTCTAGCTTCTCTTTGTGGTGAGCATTCAATATCGCTGTTTTCAGGTGAATCTATATCTTCTGTTTGTTGAAGCTGTTGTACACTTGAAATGTGACCATCTTGGACAAGATTTTCTTCAGATAACTTTCCATCTGATTCATCACTATGACTTAAATTAGTACTAGAAACTTCCTTGTTAATGTTTTCAGTGATATTTTCATTTGAATCATCTTCTTGTTGTGAATCTTTAATATCAACATTACTTGAAGTCATTTCTTCTTGATTACTATCAAAATTTTCTTCATCTGAACTTATATCAGACTCCTGATTTTTAACTTCTTGATCATCATTCATTTTTGGTGATTGCGTTGAGGTATCAAAATTCTCATTGTTAGCTGATTGAAGAAAAGATTTGTCTGGTGAACTTGTCAAATCTAATTCATTTTCAGAATCCTGGTCTTGTTCAACAAGAGTTGTATCCTTTTCATCTGTATATACTGAATCATTCAACTGTTCTGATTTGATCTCTTCACTGTCAGTAACTCGAGACGTATCAAAATCGCTGTCTTTTAAATCTGACAGAGCATCCATTTTATCCTCTATATCTGTACTTAGATTACAAATGTCTAATTCACTGGTTTGTGATTGTGATTGTGACACGCTTGCATTAATTTCTGTGCTAATATCAGCTGAAACCGGAGATTTCATATCATAGTCCTGTGATTCATCTAACTTGCTTTCTTTTTCCTCAAATTCCATTTGTTCTTCTTGCTGAGAACCATTTACATGTTCTTCTTTAAAAGTAGAACTTGGAGATGATGGCATATTTAAATCATCATTGTCTCCTATGACTTCAGCCGTTGATCCATCTTCCTGATCTACAGATTGTGGTTGATCAGTATGTGAATCATGTAAGCTGATATCCTTTGCCTGTGATGAATCAGGATTTGGCTGATCAGATGGTGATGATGGACTTGTATCAACCTCCATTTAAGATGAAGCTTTAGGTCTGAAAATATAAAGCAAACCATGTACACATACATTATGCACAAAAATTTACCAAAATTCTACTGTGTCCTTTATCTCCTATCCATTGACCTCAAAATCAATAAGGGTCTTCTCCATCCCATGGGGCACTATCAAACCAAGTACAGTAAAATCTGCCTACCCAACAATTTAATTACATGTATTAGCAGTTTTGAGATATTGTCTGTCTGAAACTTTGCCAAACTGAAAGCCTGTCTGACCAAGCTAAAATCTATCTGAGGTCTAATAAAAAAATTGTGTTTCCACCAACCTTAAAGATTGCACAAGGTCATGCTTTTCTCTGTTAATGACTTCTTTACACTAAATCAATTGGATGTTGGATGTGTACTGATTGATATTTTAGTCTTAGATACATGATTTTTTTTATTAGTTGTTATTGGCTTTGAACTAGCTGTCAGTAACTGTGAGTAACCCCGTCACATTCTTTATGTGCCTTTCCAAAGTCAGGAGCCTGTAGTTCGGTGGATGTCATTGGTTCATCATGTCTGTCATATTTGTTTTTGGTAAATTGTTTTGTTATGAATTAGGCCATTAGTTTTCTCAATTGAATTGTTTCATATTTTTCATGACGGGGCCTTTTATAGCTGACTGTACAGTATGGGTTTTTCTCATTGTTGAAGGCTGTCCGGTTGCCTATATTTAATTAAATCCTCTTCATTTGAACTTAAGTGTATAGTTGTCTCATAGGCAAATCATACTACATCTCCTAATTTTCATATTTGTCATTTTTTAACATGCATTAAGTCCTTGAAGTCTGACTGTTTCCTCTGTTCATGCTGTTTAAATACGTCAAGATCTTTTTAAAAAATAAAATTATTAGCCAAACTACAATGTACCCACTCTTGTTTTTTTTCAATCAGCATTATAGCTGAAAAACAAATATGGCTTATTTTAAGCCTAAAGATCATACTGATTTTGAGATATCTGCATTTGGTCCAAACCTGATCTTTTCAAAGTATATAATTTTCTTGACTGTCTTTGGACATTTCTCATTTGGTCTCTGTTATCAAAGTGCTGACTGTTACATATTTGAATGGATATCATCTTTCATTCTGTAACACTCTCCCTTATAGACGAGTTTCCAATTTCGATTTTATGAATGAATTTACAACTTTTGAATTCGTGCATTTACGTAAAATTCCTATGTGACAATGCTATATTATTGTGTCACAGTACAAACTAAATGTTCGATGACCTCGTTTACACCTATTGTCCTTGTTCAACCTGTGTAACTCATTCATGAAAAACAACTCAAGATTGGTGAATTAAATGGGTTGACCGAGGTTCATTCTGGGGGGAAACGCATAATAGGCCATTGTGACATGAAGATATTTGCTTTGGGACATCAAAATTTTGCAGGAAAAAGCACCAGTTGGAACATCATGTATTGAGGATACAACATTCAACATGATTAAGTAGCAGCCAAAGCCAATGACTTAAAAAGACCTGAAGTTGTCTCCCCTTTACTACTATACCTATCTAAGGTCAATACCGAGCGTCGTATTTCACATGAGGGAAATTCCTCAAAAATAATTCATATGATATAATATGCATTGAAGATATCTTTAACATACAATTTGTACCATTTATCACATGTATGTTTATCGACCACGATTTAATTTTCATGGTTTTTTGCCGAAACGAGAGACGAACGGACAGTGACAGCGCGTACTTACCAGACTATCAAAATTACAGCTGTATAGTATTATTACTTCTTTTCATCTTGTACTTGAAGGGTTCATGCTCTTTTATTTAAAAAGGTGCTTAATTCTTTATTTTTTGTTCAAGATAGACACATTTACGTTAGATATTGATGTCGCCATTCAGCGATTTTCATTGGACGTGACCGGAACACGTGGGAATAGTGAAAGCGGATCCTTTCGTAAATTATAATCTTTTCTTGCATTTGGGATAGATTGAACTCTAAATCTAGAGAGTTTCCAGTTACAGCAACAAACATGGACGTCGGGGAACTTTTATCCAAGGCTTTGTCCCACAAGGTTTATTCCTAACTAATTTAATCAATTGTTGTTTGGTGAAATCTAAAAATCTTTGCAATCAAGAACCAATTTAGGATTTTTAAAACAAACTGACAAATGCCAAGGCAAAGAACGAAAAACGACAAAAAGACAAAAGTAAAATAACACAAACTACGAACTCCAAGGAAAATTCAAAACGGAAAGTCCCTTATCAAATGGCAAAATTAAAAGCTCAAACATATCAAAAGAATGTAAAACAACTGTCATATTCCTGACTTGGTACATGCATTTTCATATGTAGAATACAAACAACAGTTAACAAAACTGAAGACTGAGCAATACGAACCCCACCAGAATCGCTTTCGAGACGCGACGGCCATACTTCCATGACGGCCATAGGATGTGTCGGCCATACCGTCACATCGTCCATGGGACATATCGGCCACACATTGTGAGACGTATCGTCCACACTTTAAAATTTTTTTGAGGTTATAACATAAAATATAATAATAAAATAAGTATTTATTCATAATAATAACATTAATATGATTTTGTAGTATTTTTTTTCTGTTCAAGAGATCTTATTTATTCTTGTAAGAGTTATCTTTGCTTGATCATCATCACTCGTGTTTACAACTTGTTGGGGCCATATTATGTAAGTATATTGATTATTTCTTCATTATCAGTTATAAACAATTTCTGAAGAATCATTTTTATTTGTAATGTGATATAAAGGCAATTTATTTTATATGAAGTTTAAACTGTAGGAATGTTGACTGTCGCTGTCGATGACGATATATAAATACAAGCACATGTTACAGATCTTTTTATTATATCTGTAAAAAATATATTATTCTAAACAATAAAAATCTTCTCAATCTCAATTTAAAACAGGACTCAGTGTTAAGGTTAACTCTAAGGAAGGCAATTCATCAAGTTCGAGTTATATTTGTCATGATCATCAGACACATAGTTTAATAATTCTATATTTTTTTTTCTTTCTTATAGTTTAGAGTCATTCCATTTGCTGAACATCTTTCCAAGACGGAGACTACTGTAGAATTTTCCAATAACATAACAAATTACCCGTAATATCTGACAGGAATGTGCACCCTAATAACATGATAAAAGATGGCCAGTTTCATTTTTATCATACTGAATGTTCTTTTTGCTTAAGTTTGTTCATTGTGTTGAATACTATTTGTTGACAATTTAAATGTCCCCATTTTTGTGCATTTGTTGATGGAGAATTGTATTATGGACAATCATACCAATATACTCTAGTACAAGAAACAAAAAGATAATATTTTTGTTTAATATATTTTATTTATTCATTCAGTCATACAGATAAACAAATATACAACAAACATATAAAGCATACATCATACATCATACATACACAAAACACTCATATATATTATTCTTTTCGTTCAGGCATGTAGAAAATCAAACACATCGAAATGTAAGAACATACATATATTATAATAACCATCTACAAGTGTCAAAATAATTCATATATAACATCTATAAAAAAAAAAAAAAAACATGGACGATACGTCTTTACAAAGTATGGCCGTTTTTGTCCTATGGCCGTTTCATCTTTTCGGGGTATGGCCGTTTCATCCTATGGACGTCATGGCAGTATGGCCGTCACGTCCTGCACGTAGGTGATCTCAGGTGCTCTGGAAGGGTAAGCAGCTTCTCCACATGTCTCGCCTGTCATGTCATGTTGCTTATATAAGTACAGACCAGATGATTAGTTCCAATCAGTTGCTCACAACTCACATTCTAGAAAAAGGACAGGATTGGTTGCGACAATTTGAACCCATTGGTCATTATCTGTGAAACAGATATTCTATAATGGTCACTTGCATTGGAACCCTTGGATTAAAAGCTTCCTTAGAGCTGTTCCCTTCCATCAAGGAGATCATGATAGGAAATGCAAGCTGTGGAATAACGTATCATCTAGGGGTATCCATGCATGACACAAAATCAGTACATGCACAACAAGAAACAAAAACAAATATGCCTGGCAGTCATTGGGACAAATGTCATAAATGTTTATAAAATCAAAATGTACAAAAAAGTTACGTCTTACTATATAATCTTTTTTCAAAGTACATTTGTTTTTTGCAATAAAATATAGGATATATTTACAGAACACTGCAAGTGAAATGATTTGTTTGTTTATTTTCTTTTACGCAACCACAAGGAGCTTGAGTTATGTATTATCAGAGTTTGCAGAGTTCAGACCAACAAAATTTCATCCCCCACTTTAACATTTTGTGCCGGTCCAAATGTCCTGCTAGTCTATTTTTTACTGTCATATAATTACTTTGATATATGTTGTTGCAACATTAAGTATTTGGCCAAATTTCAAGACACTGGTTTACAGTTTCAGCCTTTTATATTGTCTCTGGAAACCATTTTTTTTTTTATCTTCTATTTGTTTTCAATAGTCAGGATTATACATACCCCCATACACTACCACCTGACAAGGGTATCAAGGGGTTAGATATAGAAAATAATGCAGTATACAATATGTATCACTGACTAATTGATTTTTACAATAAGAGTATTTAAGGTTACATATAAATTTTATTTGATTAATCTCTCTCTCTCTATCTGACTTTCTCTCATACACCACTTATACTTTTCACTCATCTATTTTGCTACAATATGTATCATGACTTACTTTTTAAAACAATTATTTTAAAGACAAACATGACTTAGCTCATGGTATATAACTATTTTCTTTTAACTTAACTAAAAAATAGATAGTATGAAACAATACTTAGTTTAATATTACATTTAAAGGAGACCAAAATTTTTCACAAACTTGGAATTTTTCTTTTTCTTTGCAATATGATATTCAAAGAATTGGTATTTCTTTTTTTGGAACATGTTGAAGTAATGGTGTGTGGCCCAAAAAGGTTTGCAGGGGGCTTTCATGGAACTTCAGGAAAGGGACCTCATTTGTTTGACAGAAATGAAGCAGCAAAAAAATAAAAAGCAAATCCATATAGAATAGAATAGAATATATTTTATTTCCATAAGAGGTACCCTCAAGGGGCAAAGTGCATATACATATATGACAATATAAAGTTACAATTAAATTTACATAAGATGATAAAGAAAATCAGAAATTGAAAAAATGGAGGATCAGCTAAAGTTTGCACCCAATTAATCCTTGGTACTTGCTCAGTCTGTATTACAATTCTATTTTTGTTGCTAGTCAAGTAAACATCTTGGAAATAGTTAAAATAACTTCTAAATACTACTTAGTTAGAATCTTTTGACAGTTTTCAAATTATATAGAGGCTATATTGGTCATTCAAATGAAATACATGTAACACAAAAAGCATCAAGTATGAGAAACATATAGGCTTTTTAGTGAATAAATATGTACATGTATCTTGCCACTATACACACCCTACTGGTACTATTCCCATCTTAAAATGAAAATCAGTCATGAACTTGTTCAGGACAACTCACAAGGTTTATATACATGATATAATAAGACACATAGGGGACTTATAATTTTTTACCTGGGAGGGGGGCTGGTCATTTTGAAATCAAACATATCCCCCCCCCCCCTTAAAACATTTTTAAAAAATGTGATCCCCACTCTATTAAACATGTCAAAATTTTAACATGCAAAACACTTACCTTTGACACACATGATATGTAGGATATACTTGAAGATTCAAAAGTTAACAAATGTTTCATTAGAGATAAAATTGATCCCCCCACTTTGAATTTATAAAAAAAATTGAACCCCCTTTTTCCACTTACAGAAAAAAACTTGATCCCCACTACATTTTGACCACCCCCTCCCAGGTAAAAAATGATAAGTCCCTCTAAGAATCATCTATAGAGACAATTTTGTGGTTAACTTAAGTATCCTGACTTTTTGTTAGACTATACTTGATTCACATACACCTACTAGTGATCACTGATGTCATTGCTTTTGCTGGGTATTACAACTAAAGAGAATAAAATCTAATTGGCTTGTGAGCATCATATTACTGAAAAGAGGAAGAACAGACAAAATATATATGCAAGTTATGAACATTTCAGTATAAGATACAAAGTTTGTCCTCTTAAATTTTTTTGTGATAATAGCCATTGTAAAGTTACAAGTTAAAAATAGACCACAAAAACAAGCATTTTGTATTTAAGATATGGTTAACTGTTAAAAAAATAATAGATACAGTTGACCAAAAATTTGAATCTGCAATGTTTACATTACTTTTTATAGGCTGATAAATCTTCTTCTAATAATCCAAGTATAAAGAGAAAAAGTGATGCTGCTTATGAAAATGGAGATTATGACAAAAGAAGGAGAGAGGAACCAAAAGGAATTACTGATGAAGAAAGAGAAAAAATATTGGAAATGTTAGACAATGAACCAGAGGTACAAATAGCAGCTTCTTTTGGTATTGTTTAGTATAGATATGTTTCTTATGATGTAATTTGTGTAGAGTTACTTCCCCTGACTGCTATTTTACAGGAAGAAATGGTTGATTTTCTTATTCGCCTAACCAAATTGAAACATGCGATACACACAAGTCTGACATTTGAGTGATAAATTAAGTAAGGCTTAAAGAAATAATTATTGTTCAGAAAAACCCTTTTTCTAAAGTCTAGCAGTCAGTATAACAAGTTTTATTTTGGTTGACTTATGAAGGAATTTGGGCACTTAGACCTCCACCATAGCGACAAAAGGATAGTAACTCTTGCTCAACTTGTGTCAATCAAAACCTTTATTTAGGTACAGGATAACACATATCATCTTTCAAGAATTTTTTTACCAAATTTACAGTTTAAGACTTTTTACATTTGATAACAAAAAAAATATTTTCAAAAAGATAAGAAGATTAGTACATTCATAGCACCTTTTTTACTGTAAACTATAGTTTACAATATGTTTTGCTGCCAGGTGAGATTTTGTTAAGGCTATTGTTTTCTTTCTCCTTTTGTTATTAACAGTTATATTCTGATATTACTTCCTACATGACCTAAAATACAAACATTTTTTAAGGCTAAAAGTAAGAAAATTATTTTTTTGCATTATTTTTGTATTCATAAATGAGGCTGAAACTTCAGCATTAAAGAAAATGTCTTCATACCTGCTGTAGAAAACATGGGTCACTGACTCACTGAGAATGTAAAAAAAATCTTACAGTGGTATAGCTTATTGTATTAGAGATGAATGGTATAATTTTTGTTTACTGTGGTTTTTTTTCCAGACAGAAGCTTTGGATGAGACAAACTTAAAGAAGATGTTACTGAACTTTGAGAAAAGAGTTTATAAAAATCAAGAACAGAGAATTAAATATCCAGATTTACCAGAGAAGTATGTTAAAACTAGATAAAGACAATGCCCCCCCCCCCCCCCTCTTTCTGCTCTGCCATATGCATGAGTATAGTTTCACATATTTTAGATTTGACAAACAGTGATGTTGGCATACAACTTGAAATTGTTACGCCGTCTGTAAGACACAAATGATGCCCTGCCTGACCAAAAAAAATGACTAAGTTATTTTCAGAATATTTAAAAGAAATCAAAACCCTGTGGCCATGCACACCTCCATTATGTGTTTGAACATCCTACAAAATATTAAAGCTACATCTCCAAAACTGTAGGAGGAGATAGCTGGACAAACAATTTATCCTAATCCGGACGGACGGACAAGGTTAAATTAATATGCCCCTCAACATTTTGTCACGGGGGCATAAAAAGTAATTTTAGAAGGCACATCATTTTAGAATACTGTAAAGAACATACACACATAGACAGTTGTTAAAAAAAAGTGCATTCACTACATCAGCATATCTTCAGTTACAATAAACAGACTCGAGAATCAATGCAAGAATATTAATTGGATACAAAACCCCCGTCAAAATCCAGTGAAGAACTGCCTTATGGCTGTGACGAACTGTCCTATTGCTAATGGAAAACATGGTAAAACAAAGAGCAATTAATGTGCAAGTTTTAAGAGATCATTTAGAATTTTCAAGAAATACATATTTTTTATAAGCTTGTATGCAGACTTTCCCTTAATCTATGAAAATGGGTACCAATGAAAATAATTAAATCCACAGTAATTATGATTATATGAAATGACGATTATTTAAAAGATTGTAAATCGAATATGTTCTTCATAAACTTGATACTTGTATATTTCTTTTGATAGATTTATGGATTCAGAAATAGAAGTAAATGAAATTATTCAACAAATGCATGTTATTGCTACTGCACCAGACTTATATCATATCTTAGTAGATCTCAACACAGTACAATCACTTTTACAGTTGTTAGCACACGAAAATACTGATATCCTTTAAAAAAAAATCAAATTCATTTTACAAATGAAAATAAAAAAATTATATAGTTAAGATTAATATCTTGATATAATTGATATGATTATGACTGCAAGAGTTTGTTTAATATGGTATACCATAATTTTGAAATTTTCTAGTTTGTCATTCTAAAGTTATGGGACTTTTAGCAGTCATTTTTGACACAATACATATATGCTTAAAGGTATCCTCATGTATGATTTTCTACAGAGCCATTTAATTTACTTATGATTAAATGCCTTTTAAATATCCCATTTTATTTTTGCAACTATTTTAATATGCTCAATAATGGTGTATTATGCATTCTTGGCGCAGCTCCTTATTTATTGTTTCCGTACATCTTTGTTTTTGATATTGTTGAGCCAATGATAGAAAATGACACATATTTTTATGTGTATGCCTTTTTACAATGTTGAATAGGTAACACATAAAGTCTTAGTAAAGATGTTTTCTTAACAAAACCTACATGTATCAATAGCTGTGGTGGATTTAATACAAGAATTAACAGATGTAGATACATTAAATGAAAGTGAAGAAGGAGCAACAGCTGTCGTAGATAGTTTGGTAAGTATAAGGAAAATATCACATTTTTCAATCTATAGCTTTTGTCATCATATGGGTATTGTCAAGGGCGCTTTTGTTCTGCTCCCAAAGATTCCAGTAAGACATGATAGGACCTATTAGATTACCAAATGATTTATAGTTCAAAATTGAGGTCAACTATTCATATATTTGTTTTTAAAAAAGATCTAACCATGGTCATTCTGTTTGTAAATGCAATGTGCAGGTTTTTTGTGTGCTTTAATTTGATGACATACATGTATATTTTAGATAGGTAAAGGGAGATGTTTGTGTGCAAGTTCAACTGGTTTAACCAGACCACATTTTATGTCTGTTCCAAGTCTAACTATTTGGACTGTGTATTGTCTGTTTTTATTTGTAGTTCCTGTTACCCTAATGTTAATATAAACATTATTTTGGACAAAATATCCATATAAAAAAAAAAACGTTAAAATCTTTTTTTATAAGAAATTGACCAGATGAACAATTTTACCAAAATTTTCTTTATATGTTTTACAGTGTTATAATATTTTGGCTTTGTATAAAACAACTAATCCTATTTTTATGCCCCACCTACAATAGTAGAGGGGCATTATGTTTTTCGGTCTGTGCGTCTGTTCGTCCGTCTGTCCCGCTTCAGTTTAAAGTTTTTGGTCAAGGTAGTTTTTGATGAAATTGAAGTCCAATCAACTTGAAACTTAGTACACATGTTCCCTATGATATGATCTTTCTAATTTTAATGCAAAATTAGAGTTTTGACCCCAATTTCACGGTCCACTGAACATAGAAAATAATAGTGCGAGTGGGGCATCCATGTACTATGGACACATTCTTGTTTCATTATTTCATTATTTGGTCAGGTTACCTTAAGGTAAAAGTTGCTTTATTCTGTTATGTTACAGTTAGAAAAGCAAGTAGTTGCAATTTTAGTGCAGAATTTAGAAAGACTGGATGAAAATAATAAAGAAGAAGCTGATGGTGTACATAATACTTTATGTAGGTATAATTATGTAGTATGTTAAATTTGTTAATTACTTTATGTTGGTATAACTATGTAGTATGTGAGATCTGTTGATTATATGATCCAATGTCTGAAACTGCCTCAGTGGTTTCTTCTTTGGCAAGCTTGCCTCCTGTGTTCAGCTGACCAGCTCAAACAAAAGACTTCTCCGCAAAGTATGTTGCATTTAGGTGAAAGAGCAGACTGGTTGGCTCAGAATCAGAATAATGTGTCCAGGCAGGATGACATGTCTTTCTGCAGACTGTTACTTTCCTTATGAGCTAGCACATAAACAAATTTGTACAAGCAGGTTCTCTTCCTGATGTGCATGCAATAACTGCCACTGGACACTAAACCACAATCCATCTATCCAATGTCTGAAATTTTGTAGGAAATGAATTAAATGGGAGGCTTTTTTTTCTAGAAAATATGAACATATTCTGTCACAATTTCACTGGTTTAATTTGTCCTTAAGGAGACATGTAGAGTCCATGTCTATTGGCTGACCTAAAAATTTAATGGTGTTTAAACCCTACAATAAACAAAGTAAAGCAAAGTTGCTTTTAAATTATGAACAATTGAAAATAAAATCTGATCAATATTAGTCTTGAAAAAAGAGCAACATATTTGTAAATCAGAAGTATTGATGACATAAAATTTTTAAATAAACTTGTGTGTCGTAAATATTCATGTAATATTTGCCACTGGAGATTAAATGCCTATAAAGTAAAACCAATTGTCCTTAATTATCAACAGCATTCTCTTGTTAAACAGTTGTAAACTTATACTTTCAGAAACTTGAAACTCACTCAAAATCTAAAGAATGGTTGTATGAATGTATTTTACAACTAGCATGTCAAATGTTTCAGTTCCATTTTAACTGCACATTGTACTTACATGTTTCATTTGAACCTACATGTTTTTTTCAGTGCATTAAAAATGAAGTTTATGTTTTCTTTACCATCCTGTTTGAGATCATTTACTTTTCAATGTATGTTTTGAATATTAAGCATGTCATTTTGTCTTAAAAAACACAAGTTATGTTTTTTTTATAGTCAGATAATTGTATTGTCTTTTTTTAGCTATCATAGAAAATGTAACAGAATTCCGACCAGAATGTTGTACAGAGGCAGCACAGCAAGGTTTAATGGTCTGGTTATTAAAGAGAATCAAAGTAAGGGAACACTATCTATACTCTTTTTTTATACGACCGCAAAAATTGAAAATTTTTTGGTTGTATATTGGTATGACGTTGGCGTCGTCGTTGTTGTCGTCGTCCGGCGTCGTCCGAAGACACATTGGTTTTCGCACTCTAACTTTAGTTTAAGTGAATGGATCTCCATGAAATTTTACCATAAGGTTCAATACCACAAAAGGAAGGTTGGGATTGATTTTAGGGGTTATGGTACCAACAGTTAAGGAATTAGGGGCCAAAAAGGGGCCAAAAATAAGCATTTTTGTAACTTCCAGACAATAACTTGTGTGTAAGTGTATGGATCTCTCTGACATTGTACCACAAGGTTCCATATCACAAAGGGAAGGCTGTAATTGATTTTGGGGGTAATTGCCTCAAAATTTTAGGAATTAGGGGCCAAAAAAGGGGCAAAAAACAAGCATTTTTCTAGTTTCATGACAATAACTTGTGTGTAAGTGTTAGGATATATCTGAAATTGTACTACAAGGTTCCATATCACAAAGGGAAAGCTGGAATTGAGTTTGGGGGTAATTGCCCTAAACGTTTAGGAATTGGGGGCCAAAAAGGGGCCAAAAATAAGCATTTTTCTAGTTTCCAGACTATAACTTGTGTTCAAGTGTATGGATCTCTCTGAAATTGTACTGCAAGGTACCATACCACAAAGGGAAGGCTGGGATTGAGTTTGGGGGTGATGAATCATAAGGGGGTTCAAAAAATTGGGGGGGGGGGATTTTTTTTTTCTTTTTTTTTTTTTTTTTCCCTTTTTTTTTCTTTTAAAATTTTCCATTTTAAGTTGGTTATTTCTGATTTATATTTAAAAGCAAATAATAATGATATGGTAGGAGATACACACCAAACAGGATGTGTAAATTATTATATAATAAGTATTGTGCAATAGCAAGAAATTTTCAATTGCACAGTATTGCGCAATAGCAAGAAATATCCAATAGCACAATATTGCGCAATAGCAAGAAATTGTCAATTGTACAGTATTGCGCAATAGCAAGAAATATTCAATTGCACAGTATTGTGCAAAAGAAGATACTTCGTATAAATTGCTTATTTCTTGATCAATTTCAATGGGGTTTTATTCTTGAATTCTTGGGGTTCTTTAATATGCTGAATCTAACCTTGTATTAAGTTTTTAGATTTTGGGCCCTGTTTTTAAATTGGTCCACATTGAGGTCCAAAATTAAACTTTGTTTGATTTCAACAGAAAATTGAATATATGGGGTTCTTTGATATGCTGAATCTAACCATGTATTTAGATTTTTGATTTTTGGGCCCCGTTATCAACTTTGTCCACATTGAGGTCAAAAGGGTCTAAAATAAAACTTTGTTTGATTTCATCAAAAATTGAATTCTTGGAGTTCTTTGATATGCTGAATCTAACCATGTATTTAGATTTTGGATATTGGACCATAATAGGTGAATGTCCAATTTAAAATTTTTAAGTTCTTAGACCACATTCATTCTGTGTCAGAAACCTATGCTGTGTCAAATATTTAATCACAATCCAAATTCAGAGCTGTATCAAGCTTGAATGTTGTGTCCATACTTGCCCCAACTGTTCAGGGTTCGACCTCTGCGGTCGTATCAAGCGGCGCCCTGCGGAGCATTTTATTTTTATATACAACAGCCCAAAAGATTTATTTCACTTCCCAAATTAGACTTATCACCAGGTTTGTACTTACATGAGCAACAAGATGGGACATGATATGCTTACACTTCCGGAGCACCTGAGATCACCCCCTGGTTTTTGGTTGGGTTTGTGTTGCTCAGTCTTTAGTTTTCTATGTTGTGTTTTGTGTACTGTTGTATCATTTGCCTCTCTTTTGCTACCTTTTGCTCGACCCCCACCCCATGCCTTGGACAGCATGGAAACAGAACTACATAAGAACAAACTGTAGAAATCAGTTTTGTCTGACAGTGATTACCTGACCATGAAATCATTTCCATGGTTCAAAGATCAATGTAAAGTTTTCTTCATTTGGTCTATTTCTCAGTTACTCTGAGTAATATATCATTTATATTAGACTAATTAGTTTAAAGAATCAATGCAAAATGTACCTGATTATTGGACAGGAGACACTCGACTTCGTCTTCATTTTCAAGGTTCAAAGGTTGTTTGCTTATATCAGTTTCTCTGTTATTATGAGAAATAAGTCTAGTTCATGAAATCAGTGTTTGGTATACATGTCCCTTTTTCAGCTTTCACCTGATATTGTCTTCATTATCATGGTTCAAATGTCACTTTAAAGTTTCCTTCCTTTGGTCAGATTCACAGCTAGTATCAGTATAAGGTCAGCAATATAGAATCAATTTAAGGTGTATATGTCTGTCTGTCAGGTCACATGGATTTGATTAAAGTAAAATTGTCTTTATACATGTAGTAAGTCCTCTATCTCAATAATATAATTCAGTAATAATCAATTGAGCAAATAATACATTTCTAACATAGTGAACTTGAATTAATACGAATGTATGTTTATTTTTAGGCCAAAATGCCATTTGATGCAAATAAGTTGTATGCCAGTGAAATTTTAGCTATTATCCTGCAGAACAGTGATGGTTTGTATTTTTATGAATAAAATTCCATTCCTACACTATTGGCTCTTTGTAACACAGGAGTATTCAGTTAATCCTTATATAATGCAAATATTCTGTCAAATTCTGCAATTCGTTCATTGTTGTTTGAAACTTGAGTTCATTTGCTCAAGAAAACTATAAATAGAATCAAATATGCAAGTCAGTTGAGCTTGCTCAAGAAAACTACATAAAGAATGAAATATATAAGGTAGTTGAGCTTGCTCAAGAAAACTATAAAAGAATCAAATATGCAAGTCAGTTGAGCTTGCTCAAGAAAACTACATAATCAAATATATGAGGTAGTTGAGCTTGCTCTAGAAAACTATAAAAAGAATCAAATATGTTAGTAATTTCAGCTTTCTCATGAAAACTATAAAAAGAATCAAATACAGTCGACTCTCGTTATCTCGAAGTCAGCCGGACCAGAGAAATATTTCGAGATACCTGTATTTCGACTCAAACGAAAACCGGAAGTTTGACAGACCAAGGAACACAACTCTTACTTAGCTTGGTAAAGCTAAAATAAATCCGGATGAATATGGGTAGGGGATCGATATTCTGGTCTAAGATCGATGTATCTGTATGTTATGGTCTTTTATTATTATAATAGCATTTTATGTATTCTTCTCTTATTTATTTCTTTGTACAGTTACAATTTTTTCCTGTGGTTTTTAGCCGAGAGAGTAATTTCCAATCGATCTTAGCGTTATTTAAAGTTGACAAAATTGTTCATTCTCGTATACAAGAGATTTTAGAAAATTGAGATTTCTTTTCATTTTCTTTTATTTCAATCTTTTTCTGCAAGAGGAAATACAAAAAAATTAAAGATGCCGATTGAGTAGTTTTGAGTTGATCACCAACGGAAGTCTTAATCCCTACTTTATACACAGCCAATTTTCTCATTAGTGTATGTTTACGGTTAATTGTTTTTAAAACATTTAAAACAATTTTTCATTAACTATAACAATGTATCACGAATTATTTATCATGTTGATCAAAGATAATCTTAGGAATGTCAATAATCAATACAGTGGTCAGTGACTGGAAATTTAATTACACGTGTATTGTCAGGTTAACTCTTCAATCCATTTAAATCCCCAAGGTCATGTTTTGACACATGTGTATTACCAGTTCGAGATAAATAATGAATTTTGAATGCTTTTGTTAACCTTGGGACCTTAAATTTAGTTCGAGTCAACGGAAATTTCGACTCATCCAATTTCGACTCATCAGGAGTCGAAATTCATATATTTATATGGAACAAAGTTCGAGACCACGAGAAAATTTCGATTCATCCAAAATTTCGAGTCAACCGAGTTCGAAACAACGAGAGTTAACTGTATGTTAGTAAGTTCAGCTTTCTCATGAAAACTATAAAAAGTTCCAAATATGTGCTCCAATTCCGCAACTTTTACAAACAATGAAATAAAGTTTAAAAGTAGAAAGGCTTCATTAGACCAGTAATATTTTTTATAACTGTATATATTTTCCATTGATTAGTTAACTTTTTCAATAGACACTTAATTAAAACTAGTCAGTATTACTTGATTTCAATCTGTTATGTATATGAATTCCTTGTGAAAAAATATTTTGGAAATGCAGTAGATTTTTTCAAGGTGTTGGAAACGCACGTAATTTACATTTTTCTGCAGAAAAAATATTATAGCTTCAACATATTATGGAATCTTATTTTATGTTTTATAATTTTTTTGATATTGCGATTTTGTTTTGAAAAAATGAAAACAAAGTTCATATTTTCATTGAATTTAAGTATTTTAAGAAGGTTTGCTGCTGGAATTCAAAAAAACGATTTCAGAAATGAAGATTTTTCATCAGAGAATGTACAATACATCAAAATTTTGGGAAAAATGGATTACTATTAGGTTCGTGTTATGAAATATCAAATTTAAACAAAAATATTGTTTGGCTTGAAAATGATGTTTGTAGTTGAAATTAATGAGAAGAAATGATTTTTGTACTTAATGAAAATATGCCAGTAATAACTAGCATATAAAAATATTTCGTGTATGTTAGTTGCTTGTTTTAAAAAATGTTGTGAGATATAGGTTGCCTTGCATGTTTATTTAATGTCTTGTCTTAGAAAAGGCTAGAGGGGTTACAAATGTTAAGAAAATAATGGAATAAGTGAGAAGAGAACATCTTTGGTATATGGAATCAGGAGAATTTGGAAAAGTTGCTATTAAGACAACTTGTGATACTGGAAATAAATCAGATAAAATTTCTCTTCATTAACCGGATTATTTCTGGATAATTATTTTATTTTCCAAGGGTATCATACTCTTGTGTGTTAAATATTTAGATCAAAGATAAGGATATAAATTGCTGATCAATTTAATTGAATATGACATATCTCAAGTTCTGAACATACATACTGTATGATGGTATTACAATGTAGGGGTATAAATATTATATATTTCTTTTCTTCAGAAAATAGATTGCTGATTGGAGAATATGATGGTATTGATGTTTTATTGCAACAGTTAGCTGTAAGTCATTTTTTTTTGTGTGTTTAGGATTGCTTTATATAGTTCATATGTACATTTATGTACCATTTGTTGATTTCTAAGTTAGTTAGAAGAGTTTACTATAGCCGAATCTATTGCTTTTTAACTGTGTGTATATAAATGTCAGTAAAGTCATACCATGTTGTCTATGAACGTAAAATTGTACATCACGTCTACATTTTTTTGCATTTAAAGTTCTTACTCTAAATGTATGTAGAAGTTGTGATATGGGAATTACTGGTATTACACTTACGTTATTACGTTATTGCACTGCTTTCCTTAATTTTGTCATATTTTACTGAAATGAATGTATTTTGAAGATTTGAATATTTTTTTTAGTCATACAAAAGAAATGATCCATCAAATAAAGAAGAATTGGAATACATGGAAAATCTGTTCGATGCAATGTGTTCATGTTTAATGAGGACAGAAAATCGGGCCAAGTTTTTACGTGGAGAAGGCTTGCAGTTAATGAATCTCATGTTAAGGTGAGTTTTATTTCCTGTTTTGAAAACATAAGAAACCAGTATATGTTTCCTTAGGTCACCATGCCATGCTTTTCATGATCAGTAGACTGTTTTCTCCACCAACAAATAATGGCTGCCATGATGTAGCCAAATGTGCTGTAAGTGGTGTTAAACACCAACCAACAAACAAACAACTTAATCCAGGCTAAAGTTAGAGAGTTTCACCTACTTTTCTTGCTTCATTGACTTTGGTTTAAGGTGACTTCAGAGTTTATATCTAAAGGTAATAGTATCCTTTATTTTGAGAGCAAAGTCCAAATCTCAGGTACTATAAATTGTAGGATCATCGAAACTTGCATGGAGGTGCACTAAAAAAGGAGAAGTGGGTATTTGTCATTAAGACAGATGCTAAATACCATAAAAAAAGACATATGGCAGTATACATGCAAAAAATGGGTCAGTTTGATCTACTTTATTGCTTTCATAGACACTGATTAAAGTTTACTATTTGAGGAGTTTACAATAAATATTTATTATCTCAATTTTTGTGGAGGGTCACTTTGTGATAAGAAAGGCAAAAAGATGTCAGATTAACTTAAAATTTAATCTTAATTGATTTTCCTTAATCCTAACATTAATGATCATACCTTTGTTATAAACATAAGATATATGATCATTTATTTTAAAGAAGATAATTTTGATATATTATTTAAACTTGCTTTACTTTTACAGCTTGGTAGTCCATGAATATGATCTTCAGATTTTAGATTTATTAATCTATTTCAGAGAAAAGAAATTGTCCAGAAATAGCGCAATTAAAGTATTAAATCATGCAATGTCTGGTGCAGAGGGAGCAGATAACTCTCAAAAATTTGTTGACATTCTTGGTTTGCGAACAATCTTTCCTTTGTTCATGAAAACACCTAAACAGGCAAAAGCAGGACCATCATCAGAGGAACTAGAAGGTATTTTTTTACCTTAAGATAAGCAAATCTGACATTGCAATGTCATCACCTAAATAATAAAAATAATAACTAAAAAAAATCAAATATAATATTTTTTTTTTGGAAAAAAAACATTGCGATTAAACTGTTATGGCTAAATTTCAAGTTTAGCTCACTTTTGCTTTAAATTTAGAAAAAAAACATAAGTTGCATGTCTTTTTTTCAGAAAGAAAATTTGAATAGAAACAATGCCTTTAGGTCAAAATAGTATAATCAAAATATGTTTTGATTTTTATTTTAGAGCACATAACATCTATAGTTGCATCAATGATGAAAAATTGTCAGGCTACACAAAGGCAAAGACTGGTCAATAAATATACAGAAAATGATCATGAAAAGGTAAAATTGGTTATTCAATAAATGTTTTTAGTATGTAATTGATCAATCTAATTACACTGTTATGGTTTTTTTTTATCTACTAAGACCTACCAATTCCTGTACAAATCTGTTTTGATCAGAACAGTGATACAAAATTCATACATCAATTTTCTGTACAGTAAGTAAAATGTAGAAGTTGAAAACATAGAGTATTAATTAAAGTTTTCAGTTAAAGAAAGAGGGTGGGAAAGAAATTACTCCTACTTTGAAACATGTATGATGTCACTTTTCAATTAATATTGTATCAATTATCATGAGAATCAGTAAATATTTCTGAGACTCAGGAGTTATCTCCCATATTCCAAATTATTTATCTTTAAAATGAAACCAGTTGTATATGAATGATACATTAAATATAGCTTTCAAGTTATTTTTATCTTTATTTCAAAGAAAACCTAAAATAGAGCTTTTATTCTTTTTGATTTTATAGGGTTTCCATTCTCTAATAAGATTTTTTGGTAAAACACGATGTGGTATTTTAATAGGATCATTCTATAGTCTTATAACTAATATTCAGCATGTGTTTAAATTTTTTTTGATAACCATCATTGGAAGTTGTAATTATTTCAATTTCGAAAAAAAATATGTTTTTGGTATTTATAAGAACATTGTACTATTCTATCTTTTCCTTGTTTGCAGGTAGAAAGATTGTTGGAACTCCATTTCAAATACCTTGATAAAGTACGGACAGTAGATGATCAGATCGAGAGAGAAAAACAGGTAAACATTAGGAATTTTTTAATTGTTTCTAAAAAAAGTAAAATCAAGCTTATAATTAGTGCAGTTTGGTGGGGGTGGGGGGGGGGGGGGGGTGAATTAAATGTTTAAGTTTTCTATACAGAACAAAATCATTGGAAAACATTCTGAAACAGATTTATCTTTTCTATCTTTTTGGTGTAATCATTTTCATTTCTGTTTACAGAGAATGAAGAACAGAGGAGAAGAAATAGAGGATGACGATGAGTTTTATATCAGACGTTTAGAAGCTGGTTTATTTACATTACAGCTAGTTGATTACATTATGCTTGAGATATGTGCCACAGGGCCTTCATCGGTATGTAAACAGTAATTCAGTATTCATTAATGTGTAATAACTGGTACAGAAGCTAATCAGAATATATTTGCTATAACCAGTGTTCTCCAAAAATTTTCCAATTGACAGGTGAAATTTAATGGTGACAAATTTTTTAAGTAAAAAGCCTGAGTTAGTTGGGATTTTTTTTTCTACACTTACAGACTATCATGTTGATGCAATTAACTGAAGAGAATACAAGTCCAAAGTAGTATGACATCTTGAAAGGCTATTTTGATTTTTGCTTTGAGACCCTCTTATGGGAAGTTTTAAAAAAATGAAATCTGAAATTGGCCTCAGCAGAAGTCATATTTATCCAGACTAACTAAGAAGAATTATCTCTTCAACAAATGAAATAATTAAAATGAGCAGCAACATTGACTGGAAATCAAAGTTATTATTTGTGTCACTATTAGCACCATCGGGAGTGAATCAGGTGTCTGCAGGGGTTCACAGTTGAAGGACCAAAGGATTAAATCTGTGATCTTATTTTCTTGGTCCCTGACATTTTGTTAATGTTTATTATATTAATATAAGAAAATGTGGTATGATTGCCAATAAGACCAAATGACATAGAAGCTTTATACCTTTTATAAAGTATCCCTGTACCGTCCGAGCACCACATACATATGGACATTAAGTCTAAAGAACTGAAAACCAGGATTTTTCAATACACTCGATCCCTCCTGGAAAAAAGATGCTACAAACCAAAAAATGGGTGCCTACATTTTGAGATAGGAAATATGGTATGATACTCATTAAGATGACATACAATCTTAAACAAAACTGAGGGAATTCTATTAATGATCAGGTTTTCTATAGTTATATCAAAACTAAACAAATATTTTGAGTATAGAAAGTATTTAGTCTGCAGTTAAAATTACTTATTAAGATTAAGATATAATGTGATTGATTACATGAATATCTTTTGCTTGTTCTTAAGTCTGCTATATCTTGTAGGTTAAACAAAGAGTGATGCAGATTTTGAATATGAGAGGAGGTTCTATAAAGTCAATCAGAAGTATAATGAGAGGTGAGTGACCTTTTATAATGAAAAATTTCAGTCAGTGGTAATAAGTGTGAAACTGAAAGAAATGGATGTTTACTATTCTGTGGTCTGAAACAACATATAGGTGTAATACCACCAAATCATAGTATGTCACATCCGGTTGCATACGAAAAAGGGTCGTTAAAAAATATTCCCTTGAATTTGACAGTTGTAGGAAATTAATCCTACATTTCATTGCAGTAAAATAATTCTGGGTCATAATCATATATCTTGGGTGTTTCAAAGCACCATTATTTTTTTATTTGGTGTTTTTATAGAATATTTTGGAAACTTGAGGTTACATGGCTACTAAAGCTTGTACACAGGTAAAAAAAGAGGTGAAAATTTGATTGGTTAACTTCCAGTGATGGTTATTTTCTTGTATGCAATGAAATGTTATGTGAAATTTTGTCAGGATAAAACTTTACTCATGCCAAGTATTTCTTTATTTGAAACAAAGATAAATTCTGCACAATTTTTTGAAAAGTGCAAATTTAGCAAAGACTTATAGGGGAAAATCAATGGTGGTATTACACCTATACATTCAGCAACCACGAAACAATTTTTGTTTTTAATGATCAACAAAAATTCTCACCAAATGGATACATAAATCATTTCAGATAATTCAAATTAAAAAAAAATTGCTTTCATTGCAGTTTTATATAGTCAACAATTTAAAACATATCTATAACAAACTGTGTCATTGTAATTTTGACCTGCATGACTGTATTTAATGTGTTTGGTTCATTTCTGAGAAGTCTGTGGTGGTAGAGAAATATTATTTTATTACTTCACTTCTAATAAACATTACAACACTTTTCTTGACATGTATGGCCTAATTTTATATAAAACAGACTGTTGTCAAGTTGTGTGTTGATTGTGCATTTAAGACCGTCAAAAGTATATTTGTCTTAAAAATGATATTGTATTTGAACTATCATTCACTGTATAATTTAAAGTATACATCACTGTTAAAAATATTCATAATTTCCACAGAGATTTCAAGCACACTGTCTTTATAGTTTGTGTGTAAAAAAGATATGTGGAGTTAACATCAATCAGGTAGCAATCCAACAATGCATTCATGTAGCTCCAACATTGTCAAATCTGACATGTGACCTTGTGATGGGGGAGGGGTTTGTTATGGTGGGTGACCTTGCGACCTGACCTCATTTAAGATTAAAAATGTTTTAAACTGAGAATTAGATGTTTAGAACTGTAAAGTTTGACCTGATGTCCTGAGGCAATTTTTAAATGTAACCTAGGGTGTACCCTACTTCAGCCCCATTCATAAAATAACATCCCATGCATGTACAGATTTTAGTGAATTTGAGTAAGAACTTTTAAATCAACAATAATATTTCAAGTATTTTAAAGGCACGTATATTATACAGTTTCTTATTGTACAAAATTACAATGCTTAGAATTATACATTTTGATTATATATTTGTCCTCAGTGTCATATGCACTAAAAAATGTACAATACAATTGTAATTTTTAAATCCTTTGAAATTTTCAGTTATTCAATGTATTGATTATTGTCTTTTAGAATATGCAGGGAATATTGGTGATGCAAAAGATCCAGAGGCCAAAGAACAAGAACAGGAGAGAATATTACAACTGGTGGATAAATTTTGAAACCATTAACAAAAACCTTAAACAATAAGGATAATTAAATGTGTTAATCCAAGTCAGTAGAAACACACAGTCTAAAAAGTTACTTTTGTCAATATGATGTTCTGTTACCAGTATATTTTGAATTGGCAATATAATCTGTGATACTACAAATTTCTAAACCACTACTTACAGTTCAGAATCGGTGAAATGAGACAGTAAAAATTAATCCATCTATGAGCTTTATGTCACAATATTGTGAAAATATTAAAATATAATGCTGTCTGCTGGCCATGTATGGTAGGTCAAATAACTTTGTTATGATTGTTAGTATGGTATCAATAAACATGATAAAATGTATGCTTGTTCTTGTAGTATTTATGCTTGACCTTGAAAATATTTTTAGTTAAGTATATTAAAATCAGTTTTAATGGATCATCAATAGCCATTTTATGAAAATAATGTAATTTGCAACAAAGAAGGACATTATCAAAAAACATTGTCACTTTAAAAGAAAAAATTTGTAAGGGTTCCGTGGAACCCATTGTCTCGCCTACTTTTGCTGTTAGTTGCAGGCTCAACAAAAATGTGGAAATAATTATTGAAAATTTTCCTCTAGATACTATCTTTTGAACGTAAGAAGCTTCTGTTCAAGTTTGGTAAGAATCCAGGATGGTTTATGAATCTAATAAATGTTTTAAAAATTTTAACTGCAGATTGTATGTAATCTTAACTGGAAGAAAAATTAAGTCCATTTATAAGTAATATACGGAAAAACAGGAAATTTTTTTCTACAAAATTTCCTTCTAGATACTAGCTTTTGATCATAAACAAGCTTCTGTCCAAGTTTGGTACAAATCCAGGATAGTTTAAGAAAGTTATTAAAATTTTGAGAACTTTAACCACAGAGTGAATGTAATGTTAACTGGCAGAAAAACTAAGTCCATTTATAAGTAAAATACGGATAAACAGGATTTTTTTTTTAACAAAATTTACTTTTGAATACTGCAAATTCAGAAATTATTGCGAGGTTCTTATTAATGCGAAAATTGCGACTGGGTGAGTATCGCAATAATAAGAACTCACATTCTGATAATTAAAATATAGACCTGTATGCACTTTTTATTCGAAATCGCAATAATAAAACTCGCATTTTTGTCCATTCTTGAAAAATCGCAATAATAAATGCACGCAATAATTTCTGAATTTACAGTACCATTTTATGATCATAAACAAGCTTCTGTCCAAGTATGGTACAAATCCAGGATAGTTTAAGAAAGTTATTAAAATTTGAAAAACTTTAACCACAGAGTGAATGTAATTTTAACTGGCAGAAAAACTAAGTCCATTTATGAGTAAAATATGGATAAACAGGATTTTTTTTTTTACAAAATTTACTTCTGGATACTATCTTATGATCATAAACAAGTTTGGTAGAAATCCAGGACTTTAACCACAGAGTGAATGTAATGTTAACTGGCAGAAAAACTAAGTCCATTTATGAGTAAAATATGGATAAACAGGATTTTTTTTTTTTACAAAATTTACTTCTGGATACTATCTTATGATCATAAACAAGTTTGGTAGAAATCCAGGATAGTTTAAAAAAGTTATTAAAATTTGAAAAACTTTAACCACAGAGTGAATATTTGTGGACGCGACTGCCGACGGAATGTAGGATCGCTATGTCTGGCTTTTGCGACAAAAGTCGCAGGCTCGACAATAAAAAGGAGAAAACACATAATTTTTAATAAATCTTGATTTTAATTTTTTGTCTTATTCGTACCTAATGCCCTTTTGACATTTATGATCATTAATGATTTTAGAAAATAGGTTGTAAATTTTATTATGATCTACCAGTAAAAATAAAATTCAGAATGGAAATGGGGAATATGTCAAAGAGACAACAACCCGGCCAACGAGCAGATAACAGCCGAAGGCCACCAGCCCCTAAATAAAAATGTACTAGTTCAGTGAAAATGGACGTCATACTAAACTCCAAAACATATAAATGAACTAAAATTAAAAAACATAAAAGTCTAACAAAGGCCAGAGGCTCCTGACTTGGGACAGGTGCAAAAATGTGTTTTTAAAAGGCTGTCATGAAAAAAATAGAACCATTGAATTCTAATGAAAACATTGTCCAATATCTTGAAAACTATAATAGACTGGGAAGATCTGACAGAGACAACAATGTTTGTCTAGTCAAGATCTAATTTTAATTCATCAAAATAGTCAGATTCATTATTGGAGTTATTGTCCTTCACTTCTAGTGTTAAGGGGTATTATCTTGAAAAATATCAATTGATATAGGGAAACTTAACGATAAAATGGATAAAATAGACAAATTGAGAATTACAGACAATTTCATTGGTCCTTAATATTTTGATGTTTTTGTAAATAATAAAATCAGTTGATATTGTCAGAAGAGAGATTTAAGCTCTTTTGAGCCTCTAGTTTTAATTTGTTTATAATAGTTATGGTATTGATTTTTTAAAGTGTAATTTTTTTTAGGTTTTAGTTGTTGACCAAAGAGCCTTCTGAAAATCTATGTGTGCAAACTTATAAACTGAAGGATGCAGGTAGCCTGTATGACCTACCTGGTATATGTGAGACTGGTGTCATTTAATATTATGTTTTTAAGATATACATGCAATTTCAACAGCAATAATTGGTCAGTTTCAGTGGGGACAGCTGACTCCCATTTTAAATAGTCCACAAGTTATTTTCTCAAAGGAAATGTGATTCTTATGGGTTAATCTATATAGTATGGTTCAGTAGTCTTGGATTTTATATCGGCATGAACATCACTTATTCAAAAAAAAACCATTTTATCATGATATATGCAAATCATTCACATCTGAGAAAATCATCTCCAAAATCATGATGAATATTAATCTTTGTTTTATGGTTGCAGTCATCTTGAAATACAGTTTTGGGTATAAACCACTAAGTTTATGAAAAAAAAATCATATTATACTTGAATAATATTAATCCAGGTTGTTTTTTTTTGGTATCTGAGAAGTGTTTGCATCTGTTTCCCACAAAATGTTCATCAAAAATCATTCCTCTCCTATGCATATTTTCCAGTCTATAAATTAGTTTCTAAAATATATGTATTACCGATAGGCTTCTTTTATTAGTCCCCTACCGACGAAGTCGAAGGGGACTTTAGGTTTGCACTCCCTCCGTCTGTCCATCTGTCTGTCTGTCCATCCGTCAGTCCGGCAAATCAGCTTTCCACACTTTTTTTCTTCGTTCTTGAAGATATTGATTTGATATTTGGTATATAGTTTTATCATGACAAGTCATAGATCAAGTTCGAATTTTGTTCCGGTCTGATTATTTAGATTATGGACCATAACTCTGGACCATATCTAATGTTAGAGTATTATGTTAAACCATATTTCTGTACAAAGGGAGATAACTCATTTTTTAAAAGACATTCTTTGTTAAATTATTTGAATAATTTTCTGAATGCTATAGATATAAAAAAAAATTATGAAGAGAAATCCTTTAATTAGATAATAATCTATTTTTATTAATGTATATATTTCAATACATTACATTGTGTAGATAAAAGTTGTTGACATTTTATAGATAAGTTACAAATCTATATTAGTTTGTGACAAATGAAAGAAAAAATAATTGGAACTATTAATTATATTTGATTATAATTTGAAAATAGATATACACTGTATTACATCATATCTAATTTTAGAGAACTATTAATCATATCTAATGTTTTTTTCACTCATATAATCAGTTTTCCACACTGTTTTTAGTCATGCTTGAAGATATTGACATGGTATTTACTTTTTGTTTAGCATTTTGTTCCAGTAAAATGAATTTTTACCCGGTAGCGGACTATGTATTACCATGCAAGACTCTCAGAATGCTTGTATTTTATGTAAGAAGGGGCTGTTATTTGATTTTAGATCTGTCTGTTATATTGTAGTATGTGCTTTTATTAAGTCCGTTTCTAAAAACTCTTGGATGATAAAACAATGATATTTAACTACTGAAGATTATTAAATATATACCAATAGTACATATAGCAAAAATAATTTGATTGTCATGACTAATTTTTTTTTACTTCAATGAGTTGGTTATTTTAACAAATAAAAAAAGATATCAAAATTTGTTTTTAGGAGTAACAAAAATAATCTGAACATTTATGAATGTTTTTAACATGTACATGTGTTTATGCTCCTATGTTATGAAGAGATTGGTCATGACATTGTCTTAAAGTGTTTAAAAATGCAGAATTAAATAAAAACCATTCATGTGAAATGTAATTCTAAGTGACCCAATTGTTCCAAAAATGTTTTAGCCAGCCTACTGCAACCAATAGGAGCTGTTTTGACTGTGTTTGACTGCAAGCAGTGGGGTATATGTTTTGATAAATTGTCTTCTTGTCCTTTTCCAGATTTAAGGTTTTCAGATATAAAACAAGTGATATCACAAAATAACTTTACCATAGAAAATATTAAGATATGAACTATTGAAAATCAAACAAGAGTGCACACGCTGAAATGTCTCGCCTTCTTTACTAATCATTGATATTATGTTGATAGTCCTAAATATAAAGCTTTACTTCAACTATCACATAAACTTAACATGATCCAAGAAAATGAGGTCAAGGTCATATAAACCAAACTAGAAATACATGTACACCTTACAATCATTCAATACACTAAATATAGTTGACCTATTGCTTATAGTTTCTAAGATACAGACTTAACCAAGAAAACTAAACATTGACCAATGAACCATGAAAATGAGGTCAAGGTCAGATGAACCATGCCAGGCAGACATGTACAGCTTGCAATCCTTCCATATAACAAATATAGTTGACCTATTGCTTATAGTATTAGAAAAACAGACCAAAACACAAAAACTTAACACTGAGCAATGAACCTTGAAAATGAGGTAAAGGTCAAATAAAACCTGCAAGACTGACATGTACATCATAAAATATTTCCATACACCAAACATAGTTGACCTATTGCATATATTATTAGAAAAAAAGACCAAAACTCAAAAACTTAACTTTGACTATGAACCATGAAAATGAGGTCAAGGTCAGAAGACACCTGCCAGCTAGACATGAACACCTTACAATCATTCCATACACCAAATATAGTAGACCTATTGCATACAGTATAAGAAAAACAGACCAAAACACAAAAACTTAACTATAACCACTGAACCATGAAAATGAGGTCAAGGTCAGATGACACCTGCCAGTTGGACATGTACACCTTACAGTCCTTCCATACACCGAATATGCTAGACCTATTGCTTCTAGTATTTGAGATATGGACTTGACCACCAATACTTAACCTTGTTCACTGATC